GGTTTTAGTATAAGTACCTGTTACACGAGTGCTTTTAGCATCGAATGTATGCAAATTTTGCGGGAAATCCGCCCCCGCCGCTACTGATCAATAAACTTAATTAAGTCCCAATCGGGCCGAAATGAATGTGTGCTTACAACACCCGAGAATGAGGGTAAACATTTGGTTATATTTGAAGTGCTCGGGAGGACGCAAGTCTGTTTGATCAAACCGCCATTTAATTACTTCTTTTATCCTCAAAACACCCTGTATAATTTCCAACAAGTTATTAAATAAATTAAGAGTGTGATGAAGAAAAAATTGTTGTCCAATTTTTGGGACTTGTAGACTGACTAATAGACCAAGGTTTTTATATATCAATTAGCCGGGGTCCTTGCAGATCGTTTTCCGTTTTTTCGCGATTCCCTAATGGTCCGGAGCGCGTCCGAAATGATTTAAAAGCAATTTAATAAATAACCGGACCCGGCCGGTGGATATATATTTAAATATGAAATACGTTCGCGGTCCATTTGGACCTTACGTTCGTTTTATAATTGGGCCTGGGTCCGAATCGCCCGATAAATTCGAAATTTATGTGGTTTCCGTGGACCTGATTACCATCTTTCATTTTCTCCGGGCCCGCGGCCTTTCCCCGTTTAGGTGAAAACTAAGCCGGAATGTTCGTAATTGAAAAAAATGTATTTTTTTAATTATGCGTGTAGATAGCGCTTTAAATAAACTACGCTGGATTAGTGTGTTTGGTCTATTCATGACTGTATGCAATTTACTGTGGCTTTTTTTTAGTCGGTTCGAGTCTAAATTACGGGTATTTTAAAACAGTAAAGTAAACAGTAAGGTAATATTTTCTGTTCAAAATCAATAAAAACTACTGCGATTATTATCAATTTGTGTTTACATTGGCTCGTATTCAGCGCCTCTGTGTAACTTTAGAGTTACTCTAAAGTCGCGTCTCAAGTCCCTAGTTACTCCATAACAACAATGTAAATCTGTCAATTGAAAGATTCTCCTTAGTTACTCCATAACAACAATGTAAAACTGTCAATTGAAAGAATCTCCTTAGTTACTCCATAACAACAATGTTAATCTGTCAAGTTAAAGACGCGACTTTATAGTTTACGGGCCATTATTTTTTGTGGGAAAAAATCAATTAGCTTATTTCATAATAAAATAAGAACATTGTACTCCTAGTATATTATATTTAGTATGCACCAGAATACCTAATTCTTGTATCTCTAGAGTTATTTTATTCAAAGTATAAACTTTTGTGTTGTTTGGCAACTCCATATTTATACGCTGTGTTGGTCCCATTGTATTAACCTAAACGAACAGGCAACTTCAATCCTACCAATATTCGGTTTATTGATTCAACATTTATAAATTGACTGGTATCAAAAGCTGTTCTATTCGCTGCACTCATTTACAAAACTGCATTGTTCTAAGAAAATTAGTGCGGGAGGTCTCTCCAAATGGAATAACAAAAGTTTAAAAACTAAAATCCGAATGAAACTACTAGCGTTAAAATAAATTAATTTGGCTTTAGAAATACTGTAAAATAAATTATTAATAGGTAACTAGTATATTTTTGTGAATCATACCTACTGATTTAGTTAATTGGAGCGTAAGTTTTTATGAAGTACTTAGCGAAAATCCCTATTAATAATATGATCAAATTTAATATGAAATAATCCTATTAAAATATTAGAGAGTTTATAGATAATTAAATAACTAAATTTACTAAACAACAACCTCTTTTCATAATCACAATTTGTTTAACTCAAAAAAAAACACACATTTTATTCGACAAAGGCGGCTTTTGTGCTCCTCTTCATGCGCAATTTTCATCTTAATTTTTTCGATTTTCGCGGAAAATCCGGCGCCGAACGTTTTCCCATCAAGCAGGTTATATCTGGCGCGGTATCAGCGGATGGAAATCGGAAAGCGATTTTTCCTCTTTTATCGAAAGGGGACATCTCGTTTAGCCGGCCGCATTTTATTTCAAGTGTAATTGCGAGTGCAGCCATTATTACCCCATTTGCAAGTCTAATGCGGGATCCTGCATATGTATAGTCGCCGGAGAAATGTCTACTGGCGCTCGTAATACGCTCTATACTCATCAGGATTAACATATTAATAAATTCATCTCTAACTAAGTGCCAGAGCGTACTACAGCAGATGGCTTTCTATTGCTTATTTTAGATGAAAAAAAAAACTGGTGTAGGCGAGCTCGATTCCTTCGGAATACGTTCATCCCACTTCTGAATCTTCCTGAGCTATGCAGAATAAATAATCTTAGGGAATAATCGGTATTGTAAAAATGCGTGATGGATTGAAATTACTTTGAATGAAAAGCATGCACGAAATAAACGCGTGACGAATAATATTTCAAACTGTATTCCGCTAAACGTATAATTAAAGTTTAAATATTAAGCCGTCTCGACTCCAGGCGACGTTTTCCATTTACAACGTCCGATTCGGGCGGAAGTAAAAAGTAGAGCGAACAAAAAAAAATCACTAAAGCAAGTTAGTATAAATGAATTATCCCCGGCTTCCGGAGGAGCTCGCAATTAACCTTTCAAAGGAGAAAAATCCGGCGCATTCGAAGAGCCGATCTACAATAAGCAACACTCCGAATTTCCAAATTGATGATTTACTTCATTTTTCCCGACCGCATACACGCGAAAATTAATCCACATCCAATCAATTAACCGCCGGCGTCGCGATTGAGGTAAAATTGCATTTTATTCATGTTGTCCGATACATCTGGAAAGCTCGGAAGAATCCATAACGACAGATAGAACCGGACGTGCCAGCTGCACGGACCCACGAAAACGGACGGGAAATTCATTTCCATTTAATAGCGGAAAATCGGAACGCTCGAAACGTGGAAGGCGATCGATGGTTGTCGCGCTAACGCCTCGTGGAAACCGAACCATCCGGCGTTATCTAACAACTTTTATTTAGTTTATCCCGAAACGATTTGTTATTAGAATAACTAACAAACGCTCCGATCGAAATCCAGCCCGTTTTTTCCTCGACCCCGCTTTATTTTTTATCGACGGTCGTAAATTCATAGAGATGCTAAAACTCGGAGAAGAGTCTACCTCGAGCGTCCTTCAAGTCGACAGATCAGCAAGTTTTCCAAGTACCCAATCGCCCATAAAAAAAAGAAGTTTATCGCGCTACAAATTCCCCGAACTAGCGCTTCTGTTACCGAATGCGCGGGGCGCTGCGATTAAAAGTTCGTGCCCTTTTGATGTCCGACTCCGGTGACATTTCGGCTAGTCGGTTCGTGTATGTGATGGAAAGCAATTATAGCTCCGGGCTCCTTCTAGTCTAATAATTATACGACGGCATGGGGCACCAGTCCCATGGCTCCGGAACTTTCTCCGAAACTTATTAGCTACCCGATTAAATCGCCGCGAATTGTTGAATGCAGATGTCGGACCCGAAGTTTCCATATCGAAATTCTACAACTACCGAAAGGTTCAACTAGATACTATACTAGATATTAGATACTAAATACTATGATGCTAGATACTATGATAAGAGATAGGATAGATACAAGACACTATAGATACAAGATCTAAGATCCAAGATCCAAGATCCAAGATCCAAGATCCAAGATCCAAGATCCAAGATCCAAGATCCAAGATCCAAGATCCAAGATCCAAGATCCAAGATCCAAGATACTAGACACTTTAAAAACTAGTTAATAGAGTTTAAATACTAGATATTCGTTGGTAGAGTAGTCACTAGAGTACTATGTACTGGATACTAGATACAAAATTGAGATGTATAGAGTGTTATGGTGAATTAGAAGTTTGAGAAGAATCTCGGGGCGAATTATCGGCGGCGTCGCTGGAATTAACTTCATTATAAGCTTATTTCTAATTGAATTTTCGCGAGAAAAGGCCGGGAAAGGGCGGCGGGGAACGGGGCGGAAGCGTGCGGGGGGATGATAACCTGGATTATTCGACGGTTCAGTGTCGATTTCTTTCAACTAAAGAAATTCAATCGTCGTTAATTTTCATCGTTGCAGAGGGTGATAATAGGATATCGCGTTTCATTAATTTGAAATTTTGGAATTCCCCTTATCGCATAGTTAATTTTTTCTTCATAATACTCTCAGTGGTTATCTCCATTATCATGGATCATATGTAGTAAAACACATCACGAGTATATCAGCAATCAATTCAGTAGGTACGTTGAAATAATAGCCGCAATCCGTTCGTGTAATTCCGTAAAACGGAAAATTAGATTAATTAAATTGATAACCATTAATTACTGGCGATATCCGAAGCATCCCTGCAATTAAATGCGGACTTGTAAATTTACGTTGAACCCCCGACGAATATTCAATTAGAACGTTCGCGGAAACGCAACGCAACGCGAACACAAAACGTTTTGATGTACTGTTTTATTAAAATAAAAAAGTAGAGGCTGTTCTATGGGGGCTCAGCCTAATAGGCTATTTCCTTGTGGCGAGTGTCCATTTCTCTAGGTCCTGACAGGGGGCATTTTTCACCGGAAGGAACAACAAATAACGAGCGAACCGGTTTTTCTTATTCTCTGCACGTTTTACGCAGATTTAATCCTAATGAAGATATACGACCAACTAATTCGACTGTAATAAAATAAAAATGTACAACTCCTTCTGCTTCGAGTATATACCGCATAATTCCTAAAAATGATTAACAATGCACCGCGGGAGAATTATTAAATGTTGTTCGAAATATTCGGGGATATTGTTTGATATTAACCAACGCGATTCCAAACGAAATATCTAACCATTGAAAAATGCAAATACAATATTCGCGTGCAACATTATTAACTCGGCGCTTTGAATTCGAAATATGTACCCAGAGGAGCTTTCGAAAATTTTTAGGGAATTTCCAAATCCAACTCCACGTGGAATTTATTTATGGAAATATCCTTATAAACTTACCTTTGAATTGCTTCATCTATATACAGAGTGTATGAAATTGTGCGGTTGATTCGGACAATTCGAAGACAATCAAAAGCTCCTTTATCTGAATTCATTATAACGAAATTATACAAAGAGCATAGGGATCTATTTTTAGAGTTAAAACCGAGAACATGGACAACGGAATCGGATAAAACACTACTTTGTATTCCATAATGCCGCGCATTGGTGTAGTCGGTGAAGAGTTCCTCCGGTCTTCCAGTCACGTCCGCCGGTTATACACCAAAAATATTCCCGGGGATTGTTTTAATATCCCGAAATTTATATCTTCCGAACTTCGGCGATTCTTTCTGTAATACCCGGCTATACGAGATTAATTTCGATGTAATTGAGTTAGGAAAATCGAGTGTGATTATTAAATTATTCCGGCAATTTGGGTAGGCCGTTTTTCGAAGTGGAGGAGCGAAAATCAAAAAGCTCCTATACACCCTAAGTTGTTGCGCAAGCTTAAAGTACGTTACCTGTCGCCGCCGCCGCCGCCGCCGCCGCCGCCAACACAGAAACTATCATGTGCTTATCGAAGCTCAGATTTGCCACCGCCGTCGGGACGACAACTCGCCGCTGTCGTGTGTCGGGAAAATCGCGGTTTTCCACGTATTCTCCAAGATCTCTACTCTCTAGTTTGTTTCCGTTTTTCTTTTTCAAAATGTCGCCTTCGTACTATTCGGTTTAATTTAGGAGAAATGTAGGTAAGTAGTTTATTTTTTAATAATCTTTTAGCTACAACAATCGTTAATTAATTTTATTTTTTAATTATTTATTTTTTAATCAATACAAGTAAAAAAATTCCCCTATAAGTAATCAAATATTAATGGAAACAAAATGATACTTAATTAAAAAATTAAGTAAGTATTTAAAATGACAATTTGTGAAGAATATAAAAGTTTGTTTTTGTGAGAACTTATTTAATAAGAAGCTTCTTTTATGAATCCTTGATGTTTCTTAAAATTTCGCTAATAAAAAAACTTCAAAGAGTAAATTAATTAATATTCATAACATCTAAAAATGTATTACATTTCTTCTAAAATTACCCTTAAAAAAATAATAGTAGAAAAGTAAGTAGGTATTTAACAACTTCCTTTGATAAATCGCTTCTTAATAATAGATTATATAATAGCACTAATTAATTATTACATAAGAAAATCGCAGAAATATAGCCGAAAATTTTAATTTCATCCCGTCATTTTTCATTATCCCCTTTTCATAAAAAAACCGTCCCAAAAACGGCGAGAAATTTAATAACGAACGCGCACCACAATGCACCGACGATGGCAAATCGGGCAAAATTGGAATTTCCAAATTCGTTACAAATAGTCACCCGAGCGATAGCGCAGGGAAACAACAATATATCGGACGATTCCGATCACAAGCACATAAATAGGGAATGGATTCGACGTTGTAAAAATATTATACTTTCAAAATATTTATGTTGCATACACGAAAAAAATTTGTACTCGAAAAACTGTGTGCAAAACGTTTAATGCAAAATCACAATGATCATGTTATTTTCATGAGAGTACATATTTTACATGAGGGTATGGTGAAAAGTTCTCGGTCTGAATAATTTAGAACTGTCTAGAGCAATCTAGAACGCTCCAGAATCATTCAGAACTGTCTAGAATAATCTAAAAATCATTTAGAACTGTCTACAACCATTTTTAGAACGCTCCACAGTTCTTTATTCAATTAGAACTGTTTAGAACAATCTAGAACGCTCCAGAATCATTCAGAACTGTCTAAAATAATCTAGAACGCTCCAGAATCATTTAAAACTGTCTAGGAACATTTAAAATACTTCTAGATTGTGTAGAACAATCTAGAACGCTCCAGAATCATTCAGAACTGTCTAAAATAATCTAGAACGCTCCAGAATCATTTAAAACTGTTTAGAAACATTTAAAATGCTTCAGAACCATTTAGAACGCTCCATAGTATTTTATTCAATTACAACTGTTTAGAACAATATAGAACGCTCCAGAATCATTCAGAACTATCTAGAATAATCTAGAACGCTCCAGAATCATTTAGAACTGTCTACAACCATTTTAGAACGTTCCTGAATCATTTAAAAGTGTCTACAACCATTTAAAATGATTCAGAACCATTTAGAACGCTCCATAGTTCTTTATTCAATTAGAACTGTTTATAGAACAATCTAGAACGCTCCAGAATCATTCAGAACTGTCTAAAATAATCTAGAACGCTCCAGAATCATTTAAAACTGTCTAGAAACATTTAAAATGCTTCAGAACCATTTAGAACGCTCCATAGTATTTTATTCAATTACAACTGTTTAGAATAATCTAGAACGCTCCAGAATCATTTAGAACTGTTTACAACCATTTTAGAACGCTCCAGAATCGTTTAAAACTGTCTAGAACCATTTAAATGCTTCAGAACACCATTTAGAACGCTCCATAGTTCTTTATTCAATTAGAACTGTTTATAACAATCTAAAACGCCCCAGAATCAATTAGAACTGTCTAGAACTAAAGAACTAATATTATGTATAGACAAAAAAAATATAATTCCAGGTAGTTACAATGCTTCTATTCTTGTACCTATCAACAATCCTGCTGCTACGAGTCCGACCGTCCGCCAGCCTGACATCAAACAACTGTAATTTCAATTCGATGTGCGTCTGTTCGATGGAAGAGCGGGACGTCTCCGTGAAAACCATCCACAGCATCAGCTGCCTGTCGACGCCTTTCTACAAATTCCCCAGTAAGCTAACGCGAACCTCTAATAAACCCGACCCGTCTCCCAACTGATTAGTTTCTATTAAAAGCCCTGCCGGAAGGAAGCGTCAGCCAGCTCGAAGTGGCCGGGACGAAAATAAGCATACTGGAGTCCGAGAGCCTGGCGGGTTGTCAAGTGCAGGCACTCATCCTTACCAATAACCGCATACAACACATCGCTGATAGGAGTTTCAGGTGAGCCTCTCGAGTTCACTTCAATGTTCCTCTATACGATTCTCTTTTCGCCAGTTCCTTATCTAAGAGCATCACGTCGTTGGACTTGAGCTACAATCGACTCGATGGCGTCCCCTTCGCCGCGCTGAAAGACGCCAGGAACTTGCAATGGATCAATTTACACGGGTATGATATATTCGTTACTTATTGATTGTTATAACTTCGCTATTAATCACTCTATCAGGTAGGAAACAGAGGTTTTGTTTTATGAAGTTGTTCAACAGCAGCTTTATTTTTTGATATATTTCAGCAACGAAATCGGCTCGATGATCGGCTGGTGGTCGCACATGAAAACCTCCCTGTCGACACTATTCCTGGGGGAAAACGACCTGACGATCGTACCGAACGAGACGAGCCACAGCAATTCGAAGAACCGGCAAGGTTTATGGCACTTTCGATCGTTGATTTGGCTGAATTTGGACGGCAATCGGATACATTCGATCGAAAACGGCTCGCTGCCGACCTGTTTGAAAACGGCCAGCTTGTCGTACAATTTACTAGCGGATTTTCCGGTCGATCTCGTGGCCGCTTCGCCGCACCTGCAATGGCTTTACTTGCGGGGGAATCATATAAGGTTAATTCCTCAATGCACTTTCGGGCGGATGGCGTATTTGGAAAAGCTGGATTTGGCCGAGAATTACATCAGTACATTACCGGGTTATCTGTTTAATAATTCACTGAAAATTCGCGACGTCAATTTGGCCTTCAACGATTTTCGGATGCTGACGGATAATTGCTTCGCCGGTCTGAGCACCGGCCGGATAATATTCTCGTACAATTCGCTGGAAAAAATGGATTACGACGCGTTTAATGGCATATTAGATACGTTAGAGTACCTCGATTTGGATCACAACAATCTACAACGCATACCGGAAGCTTTGAAACGACTGAACTCCCTTAAATACCTCTATTTATCTTGGAATTTTTTGAAATACATCTCGCCGTCCGCTTTCGACAATTTCTGCGACAGCTTGAAGGCGCTGAGCTTGAGCGGAAACCAGCTGAGAGAAATACCGTCGGAGGCGCTGCAAAATTGCACGAGAATCTCCCACTTCAACATAGCCTACAACGAGATAGTCGAAATCGATCGCGGGGATTTCCAAAATTGGGCATCGAACGTCCGAAGCCTGAACCTGGCCAACAACAGAATCGCTCGTCTACCGGCGAACTTATTCGAGGATTTGGTTAGTTTGAAGGAGCTGAGTTTGAGTTTCAATCCGCTGAAGAAGATCGATAAGAGCGCGTTTATTGGTTTGAAGAAATTGGAAAGTTTGGAATTATCGTTCGCCGTCAACAAGCCGGATTTAATCGAGCGCTTGCCGAACGTCAAGTGGTTGTTTTTGGACAACAATAGTATTCATAAATTAAACGGTTCGAACGAGGTAGCTTCGGATATCAGATACCTCAATTTGGAATCGAATAAGATCGATTCGATTCCGCCCGGATCGCTCAAATCCCACTCGAACTTGCAAAACGTCCGGTTATCGAACAATCAATTGAGCACCATCGAAACCGACGCATTTCGCTCGTTAAACGCTTTAGAAACCGTTTTGCTATCGAACAACAAAATCCGGCAATTTCGCGAGGAAAGTTTCACGAATTTACCCAACCTCACCACCATCATAGCCTCTCACAACCGCCTAAAAACCATCAGCTCCAACACCTTCTCCAACCTACCTTCCATCAACAAAATAGATTTGTACAACAATCGGCTAACGCACGTTTCTTTCAACTCATTCACAAACATCTCCTCTCATTTATTGGAGTTGAACGTTAGCAGGAATCAGATAGTTTCCTGCGCCTCGGACGCCAGAGTGCTGAACATGCGAACGTTCGATTTGAGCTACAACAATTTGGCGACGGTGCCGGGTTGCATTCGCGACACGTCGGGCTTGGTGAGGCTCTATTTGGATTTTAACATCATCGGGGAGCTGGAGAACGCGGTGTTCATGTACCTGACTTCGTTGGAGCGCTTGGGATTGCAGCAGAATAACGTAAGGCGCGTGGGGAAGAGGGCTTTTTTCGGTTTGCAGAGCCTGCAAACGCTCGATTTGTCGAAGAATTTGATCGGGCAATTGCACGTGGGGCAGTTCGCGAACATGTCCAAATTGAGGGTGTTGAATTTGAGCGGGAATCACTTGAGCTACCTGCCGAAGGAGATATTCAAAAGCACCAACATCGAGATGTTGGATTTGAGTTTTAACAGTTTTTCGGTGGTGCCCAGCTCTACTTTATCCGACATCGGTATTTCTCTTAGGTATTTCACGATGCGCTCGAATAACATCGAGCATATCGATATAACTACGTTTCCTGATATACCGCTCCTGCAGCGGTTGGATTTGAGGAATAATAAGCTGACTATATTACCGGATAATGTGTTCACGAGTTTGGGATTGCTGCAATTTTTGGATTTGAGTTCGAATCCTTTGAGGTCGAATTTCAAGGAGTTGTTCCACTACGCGCAAAGCTTGAAGCATCTCGATTTGTCGAACACGGGCGTCACGAACACCCCGTATTTTCCTCTGCCGAATCTCGTGTTTTTGAATCTCTCTCACAACAACATAGAGTTCATAAACAAGTACTCCTTTCAGCAGTTGGGTAAATTGAAAGTTCTGGATTTGAGTCGGAACAATTTGAATAAAATATTCGCGCAATTGTGGGTGCATTTGCCGAATTTGAAAGCGTTAGATTTGTCTTATAATCCTATAAAAGAAATACTAGCTGACAGTTTCAGCGGTTTGCAGAATCTGCAGCAACTGAACATCCAGCATTTGGATAAGCTGGTAAAATTCGAGAGCGAATCCGTGATACAATTAAAAATCATTTCGAAACTGCTCATACAAACCTGGCCGAAAATCGAAAATTTCTCCGAGAAATTATGCCAACTTTTCTCGCACACCGACCAGCTCAGGGTCCTCAAAATACTGCTCCTGGAAAAGGAGCTCACGGATCAGTTACTCTGCGTGACGAACAGGAAAATTCGCCACTTGGAAATCACCGGAAAATCCCTGAAAACCGTCAACAAAGACGCCTTCACCAGGTTCACAAAAAACCCTCAACTACTCATCAAAATACACAACACCAGAATCGAGGAGCTGCCCTCCGGTTTGTTCTCCAACATGTACAAAGTGGCCCATCTGACGCTGGACCTGCGGAACAACCAACTCACCCAACTCCACCCGGAAATCTTCTACGGAAACTCCAGCAGGTGGAAAAGCGACGGTACCACATTGATAACCGGTAAGACCAATAATCTCTTTCTACCATCGCTCTACCTGCATCTACATAATTCTTTCAGGTGGTTTATTGTTATCGAACAATCCCTTCCGATGCGATTGCCACCTGACCTGGCTCAGCCACTGGATGAGGAGATGGACGAGGGAGAGTCTCCAGTCGCACAGCTCGCCCGCCGAGGGCTCGGTCAGGATGATCGAGGCGATCAGCGAGGCTACTTGCATTGATTACAGAAGCAATACGAAAATTCCCATCGTGGATTTGCAACCGGAGGACACGAATTGCCACGCCAGTGCCCTCAGTAACGGTGCGCGTTCCACCAAAACTACTGTGATATTTTCCGGCGTGTTAACGTTTCTTGCGCTCTTGAGGTAGCGTTTTCGGTTAAATCGAGTATTATATTGAGAAGAGCGTATTTTTTATATTTACATTATGTACAAAAATTATAGGTATTAATAAAATTAACGTTGTTTTCTTCTTATTATTTGTATATTTGATATATGTAATATTTATTGGATTATTAAATTTACACATTTATTTATTAATTTTGTAATTACTGAAAGCAGATCATGTATATTGATGTCATTCAGTCACCAACAAACTGAGCTGCATAACTCGCTAATCCAGACAAATAAAAATAGCAGAGATTTACATACATAACTGTCAACTGTCAAAAGTCAAAACATAACCAAACTTTCGATTTAGGTTACCGTTTGTGTTTCTGTTTGTGTATATTTTCATATTAAAACTTACATCAAATAGAACGAAAATGTCTGATGATGAAGACACCCAATATGTTAAAAAAACAAAAACGATCCATTACGGTTCATTGGAAAACGCCGAACGGGCTAGAATTGAATCGCAAAATGAAGACATCGACAATAAAATTTCAACGCCTGCTAACAATTCCCCGGTACATGCACCTTCAGGTAGATAAAACAATTATTATCCTTACAATTAATCTTAAACAATTATTAACATTTATTTAGAATACATGGAACTCGAGGATGCAATGTCTAAAGACAAGCAAGCTTTGCTCGAAGAATTCGAACGGAAGAAGAAAGCTCGATCGATAAACGTATCCACAGATGACGCCGAAGTAAAAAGAAATTTACGACAATTGGGGGAACCTATTTGTCTTTTTGGCGAAGGCCCTGCAGACAGGAGATCGAGATTAAGAGACATTCTGAGCAGGTACCTAAAATACCTACAAAAAATAGTTCTGGAATAAACAGAGAGTATTTGTAGGATTGGTGAAGACGCAGTAATAAGACGAGAAGCTGAGGAAGAACGTAAACTCTACGAAAAAGACCAAGAGACAACGTGGTATCACGAGGGTCCAGACTCGCTGAGAATAGCTCGATTATGGTTGGCTGAATATTCTCTACCCAGAGCTAAAGCTCGTTTAGAAGAGGCCAGGAGACAAGTCGACTTACCTGCGGCTACAAAGACTGCAAGAACTCAAGAGCTCCAGAAGAAAATCCAATCGATGGCTATTTATTGCAGTCAAATAGGCGATACACGACCCATATCGTATTGTCAATTTAGTCCAAATTCTGAACTCTTAGCTACAGCTTCTTGGTAAATTTTACACCATAATAATCTATTTGTTGTTTAACTACTTGTTTTTAGGAGTGGTTTATGTAAAGTATGGTCTATCCCCGATTGCCAGTTGAAACAAACATTAAAGGGACACACGTGTAATGTAGGAGCTATTGTATTTCATCCCAACGCTACTCTAAATAACGATGAAAAAATTTGTAATATGGCTTCTTGTGCTGCAGATGGATCAGTTAAATTATGGGATTTTGTTAGGTACCTAATCAACATAAATCTATTAACTATAAATATTAATTTTCTTTTATTTTAGTGAAGAACCTATTGCTGATATTGAAGGACACATGCCACATAGAGTGTCACGATTGGGATTCCATCCATCGGGAAGATTTTTGGGAACGTGTTGCTTTGATAACTCTTGGAGACTGTGGGATTTACACCAATGTCAGGAAGTTTTGCATCAAGAAGGACACGTTAAACCGGTGTATTGCATATCCTTCCAAGTAGATGGATCAGTTTGTGCTACAGGGTAAAACAAATTGTTACAATTGAATTTGCAAGAGTTACATTTGTATAATATTTTAGAGGAATGGATGCTTTCGGCAGAGTGTGGGATCTCAGAACAGGAAGATGTATAATGTTCATGGAAGGGCATTTAAAGGCTATATTAGGTATCGATTTTTCATCAAACGGATATCAAATAGCGACGGCGAGCGAAGATAATGTTTGTAAAATTTGGGATTTACGGAAGCGCTCAATTTTGTACTCCATACCGGCGCACACGAATCTAATATCAGAGGTTAAGTTCCAAAAATTCACCGGTAGTTATTTAGTAACGGCATCGTACGATAACACGGTGAAAATTTGGACTAGCAAAACTTGGCAACCTTTGAAAACTTTGTCTGGACATGACGGTAAAATCATGTCGATGGATATTTCACCTAACGACCAGTACATAGCTAGTAGCTCTTATGATAGAACCTTTAAACTTTGGACATCAGAAGCTATTTAATTTTTTTTATATTGCGTTCGAAAAGATTACATTTAGGTTTAATAAAATAGCTCATTAACATTGTACATATATTTACTTACAATAACATATTTCCATACTTAATTCGATGATTTAATATTTCTCATTTGTCGAACAGCAGCTACCAATCTAGCAGAACAACCGCTGCTTTGTGGTTGGTACTGATCAGCCGGTAACTTTAACAATAGGTTTAATTGCTGTAGGTTTTCCGACAAAGATAATCCCAGTTCTTCTAAAATATTTTGAAGATAACCTGAAACAATAAGTATATTACACATAAGTACATCTCGCTATTTTGTAACTCACTTATATCGTGCGCTAATTGTCTACTTGCAGCCGCATTCAATTCGAATATCGAAAGAATTTTATCGCAGAAACACTGGCACGTTCCCCTCGTAATAATCCCTAGGAAAATTTGCGCTAATGTACCCTCCATGCCTGCTACATCGTTGTATTCCTGATCGACCGACTTCAGAGCACAAGCCAAAGCGGGATTTTCTTTAAACAAAAACGGCTCTAAATGCTGAGGAAGTATCATCAAATACTGCCCGATCTGTATTAAAAAAAATCAATTTACATTTCTCTCTACAGCTCTACATTACCCCAGTACCTGTGTAATATACTCCTGCGGAGCGAAACTGTAATCGGGCAAATCGTGCATCGTAGAACCATCGAATTGATTCCACGTCTGGGAATTTTGCACGACGTCCAATTGCACTGCGATGGGAGCGAGGACGACTTGATAGGTCGTGTGATGGATGTCGATGCACAGTTTGGAAAATTCCGTCGTGACGGAATCCAGTAGAGACAATTTCGTACCTTCCGTTACGCAGTTCACCAGGCAATCGAATTCCTTGAGATCGGACGCGTCGAGGAGCAGTTTCTTGTACTGGACGACTTCTTTTTGATTCAAATCGAGCACTTGATTGGTGAGCTCCTTTTCGAATTGCTGCAGGTTGAGGATTATGTCTCCGGCGTTTTGCAGTAGGGAGAAACAAAGTTGGAAGGTGTTCCAATCTTCTTCGGACCTACAAATCGGTGTACATTATCAATTTTATAAATTATCAACGCGATTGTACCTTCTGTTGCGATCGAGTTGCCGTAATGCCACTCGGTAAAAGTCGGCGTAGCCGGTCAAAAAGGCTCTCAAGGCGATTAATAGACCGCAAAAACCGCAATTTTCCGTTATTTCGTAGCACCTTTTTTTCGCTTCTCGACAGACATCGATAACCGACGAAATATTGAAGCCCAGGGCCTGAACAGTATCGGATAGTTCTTCTTTGATGCAATTTAAAGAAGACAGTTGTTTCATCAAATACGCTTTTTCGTAAGTTTCATATTTATGCATATAAATAACCATATGGCTGAATATCGCTTTTTCGAGTTTAAAAATCTCTTCTGCATTCGGTTTAGCTGAAATGAAATTAATGAAAATATGCTAAGCCGATTTTACAATGTTTTTACCTTGATATGTTTGGTCTATAATTTTAATTAAACTGTTTCTAAATTGAACAGTACTCTGCTTAATCTCTCCTACAAAGCTTAATTTGTCCGGTACTTGCTTCAATGTGGCATCTATGCATTCGTTTAACGTAGGATCCAATGATGTTAAAACATCAACGTAAATATCTATTAGGGTCTGTAATGCTGATACCCCGCTAAATACCTGATTAAACCATCGGTATTGAGTATGCCAATTCGACAATAAATAATTGTAGTAATTATGAATCCACTGAATAGTAGTCTCGTCTTGTTCAATTTCCAGTTGGTTTCTCCATTTTTTGAGCAACGCGTCCTTCTGGCATTTTTCGTAGTATTTAATAAGTTGCGGTAATCTCTCCATCGACATAAATATGTTTACATATATCTGGGTTTGCTCTGTAAAAGTAGAATTTGTTATATTATGTATTTATTTCGAAATCAATTACCTGTATTGAGTGAATTAAAAGCTTGCACTATCGAGGGACTTGCTATTGCTTCTAATCTATTCTTCAAACCTTCCAATTGCATCTTTCTGTTTTCGTAATCGGCTACGTTAACTAACAGCTTAAGTGAGGTTTGCATTCCCAATATTTTGTTTGAAATTGCTTCGATATTTTTCGAATCGAAAACATCCTCAAGATCATTTACTACAAAAATCCAATATAAAAACATTCTAAATTTCCTAGTAAATCTTTACCTAATACAGTCCAATTGTCGCTCTCGTGAAGCCCTTGTTTGGCTGATATTAATTTATTTTGCATGGAATCCAACTGTTCTATCGTGTTAATCGACTGGCCTGTATCATGCTCGATTTTTTCAATCTCGGCCTTAACAGCAGCCATTTTCTGTTTAAGAATTAAAGCTTCTTGCTTAAGGTTGTTCGCGTCGCGCATTATTTTCGGCAATGATGCCAGTACTTGTTGACTGGTATCTTCTAATGCATTATTCAATTGTTGAACGTACAATTGAAGTTTCATAACTAACGACATCGTATAATTAGCCTGCAAATGCAATAAATTATTATTCGAGAAGGGAAAATAAACGAGTTTACCTCTTTATCTTTTTCCATTTGTTGGAGAATGCCGTTTATCCAGTCTTTAGTGTTAAAATCATCGTTAGAGAATGAACTGATATCCTGTAATAGTAAGTTATGGTTTTAAGGATTGCGTGTAAATAAATCGATTTTGTAATAATCGTCCTCACCATGTTGCTAGATGTAGAATTCAATTGATATATTTATTTAATACAATAAATTGTAATTGTTATAAACTATTTACGTGTAAGATTGTTTACTTAACCTATAATAGTTTGACGTCTGTCAACTCTTTTTCGAATTCCTGAAAGAAACAAGGCCATTATAATAAATTTTATTTGATAAAAAGAAGAAATATGGTTATGTTTTTGTGATGAATAAATTGAAAATTTGTCCAAATGATCAAAGACAAACATTAACTATTTGTTAAACACTTGCACAGTTAATAGACATAATTACAGATACTTTCAGTTTAGCAAGAGGACGATAAATTGAATATAACTTTTAATATAAAACGTACACAATGGGGTCCGAACAATCTAATCAATCTGGTAGCCAGAATGCCCAAAGACAAGGCAGTTTGAATAAAGAATCATCAAAGCAATCGAATATTAGACGTCAGCACACTATAGCAAATCCTGGAGGAAGTGAATTTACCACTGAAAACGTAGATATCAGACCAGGCTCCATATCACCCGGACCGAGTGTTTGTAGCGATGTAGATTTACCGTACATCAGTTATACTGTTAACAGACCTATTGGAGGTAAACTAACATATTTATTAAAGTTACATAAATTAAAAATCACTTTACAGATTCCCCTAAATTAACAAACAAGCAAATCGTTAAGAAACCAGCATCGAGAAGAATTCAAACGCCGAAACTCACAAAGAACAAATCTACTCACAATATAGTGGTGGTGCGCGGTGCGACCCCATCATCAGCGGCCACAGAAAAAGATCCCGAGATATTACGGTTGCAAAGCATACCAATGTTTCTGCCCATCATGAGAGCTACACTCAATTTACCAGCAGCGAGGGACCCGGAAGTACTCGAAAGGCTAGATCCGACGCCCATAAGGAATCTATGTTTGCGATATCAGCGCCATCTAACTGCTGCTGCTAATCTCGTGGCCACCGAGCAGAATCAAATTACTCATAAAATAAGAGAGGTCGATGGGGATGTAGTTAAACTAGTCGCTGCGCTTGTGGAAAAGCAGAGGCGGCTTCAGAAATACAGCGAGATATTATCGCAAGTTACGCATTTATCTCATCAACTGAACCGTTGTCACAGTACCTTGAATTTAACTATAGAATCAATGGAGACGTTGAATAATTATTTGGATGTTGACGATAGGTTGGAACCTTTCGTGTGGACCACTGGATGAGATTTAATTAATGAATCTTTATAATGTAAGAAATTTATTCTAGTCATTTATTGGGCAGCTAATTGTTTATTAGGAAAAATAATTTAAATATTTATTAATAGTTGTATGTATATAAAGAAAATATTTATCAATATATCTAGTAAGTGTTTAGCTTAAAGAATATGTTTTAATTTCACAGCCAATATCCGAATATTTGCCGAATTATTTCAGTTATTTATTTGTATTGGTTTGTCAGGTTGATTGTTTGGATGGGCCTCCAAAAAAGCGGGATGGTTTTGTAAAATTTCGTCGATTCTTTGAATATTGGGATACTTTTCTAGGTTTACATTGAACCTGTGTTTAGCATGAAAAATTTGTGGTATTAAACAGCAATCAGCAATGGTTATTTTATCTCCCACGCTGTACTTTCCTGAGCAACCTGCAAGGATTCCTTCTACAGCTTTAAAACCTCTGTTAATCCAAAAACTGGCCCAATCTGCTTGGTTTTCTTTGGGAAATTTAGTTAAAAGAATTAGGTTTTGGTATGGTTGAATTCCGGATACTATTATTTCGCTAATCTGCCTTGCCTGAAATTATTTATTGAAAATCTTTACGATATTTGACGAAGAAAAATACCTTTGCTCTTTCAATTTTGTCATTCGGCAACAACGGTATCTGTGGTCTAGTTTCTTCTAAATAATGCATTATATTCAGCGATTCCGTCACAATATTTTCATCTATGTATAATGAAGGTACTTGCTGCATGGGGTTTATTTTCCTGTATTCTTCGGAATGCTGTTCTCCGTTCTGTGCTAATAACAGGGTTTTTAATTCGTAAGGAATACATTTCAAATTCAAAGCCAATCTAACTCTCCAGGAACACGAACTTATCCAAAAAGAATATAAAATTGTTTTTCCCATTATGTACTTATCTAATTAATAATTTATTGAAAATTATTTATATCTGATATATCATAAAATTGGGTTAATTTATTCTTCTTTTTTTCTGAAGTTGTATTTTGACACATATTATAAAACTGTCACCTGTCAATAACATTTTCGTAAACGTCAATGTCAATATTACCAAAAATGTGAAGTGAATGTTGATTCAATTTATCAAGAATTATAATATTATATACTTATTTTCAAAAGGTTTTTAATACTGCATATTACGTGCTTACGTGTGATACCCTATTTATTTTCGCTCGTCTTAAATATTAGTAGTTTTAAAAAAATACATATCAAACATATTCTAATAATTTCCTACACGTCACAATCACAATGAACCCCTTGGTTTATTTATGGGGTTTTCAGTAATTTGTGCGTAAAGTCTAGTTAAAAATGCAATCTAATTTAAAAACTAAGGAAATGTTTATTCTGAGAGCTCTCGAAAAAATTTTAAATGATAAAGAAATTAAAAGGTCCTCTCACTCTCAGCTGAAGAGGGCTTGTGAGGCTGCACTTGGTAAGAACCCTTCTATTTTTCTCTTATTCTATTACTTATATGGGGATACTGAGTAATTAATGATTGTTATATTGATAAGCAGCTGTAGAGATTTTTTATTATTAAATAAATTACTTCTTATTTAATATATATTGGTGTTTGTTGTCTTTTAGAACAACTGAAGAGAGAAACGACAGAAAATCCAGACCAAGAAAATGTATCCGATGCCCTGCCCCAGCCGAAAAGCGGCAGTTCCAATACCATTACCACGGAAAAGTATTTTCTGCCCTTCGAATTGGCCTGCCAGAGCAAATCGGCCAGGATAGTAGTAACGGCTTTGGATTGCCTGCAAAAATTAATCGCCTACGGCCATCTAACTGCGAGCGTACCCGACTCAACGACACCCGGAAAACTCCTTATAGACCGCATCGTCGAAACCATTTGCAGTTGCTTTACGGGACCCCAAACAGACGATGGTAATTACGATAATTTAATTAGCCGTTTAATTTTATATTTACGCTAAGTAATGTAGTAAATAATCGCATTTGGAAGCCTCACATTAGTCAATTATAATGGTTTAGTTCTGATAAAATAAGATACGAAAACATTAATCACTTATTTTGTGCGAAATATTTTAATTAGGAAAATACGTTGTTTATCGTAATTATATCGTTTAGGCGTTCAACTGCAAATTATCAAGGCCTTGTTAACCGTCGTCACCAGCCAATATGTGGAAGTCCACGAAGGTACCGTTCTCATGGCAGTTCGGACGTGCTACAACATTTTCCTGGCCAGTAAAAATCTCATCAATCAAACGACCGCCAGGGCCACCTTGACGCAGATGCTCAACGTCATTTTCACCAGAATGGAAAACCAAGCGTTGGAAGCCGAGGTGCAGGAGAGCTTGCAAAATAGCCAAAATTTGAATAATTCCGCTGTATCGAACGAGTCTAGATCATGTAACGAAGGTGACGTAAAGAGCGTGAAATCTTTGAACGTTGAAGACGAGGTAATTGTTGTTCGTTAATTTATACAGGGTGACCCAGGGTCGCGTTAAAGTCCCATAACTTTTTATCTAATTGAGATATCGACTTGATTTTTTTTTCAAAAGGTAGGTACAATAATACTGCGTATTATTAAAATAGTTTCGTCTATATACAGGGTGGCTTAGTATTAGAAATTCACTAAAGTTACCTTTTTTTTAATGGAACCCCCTGTATATTATAACATTTTTGAATTCTTTAGTGAATTTTAGTGTGACTTTATGTACCATACATAGTACCTAAAACCAATCGTTTAGTGGTAATTCGACATTTTAGAAAAAAGTAGAGGTTTGAAAAAAAATGAATATTGCCGCTTTTGTAAAACTTAGAAGGCCGTGACTCTGGGTTATTAGTAAACATGAAATGTACTACTGTGTGACAGGGATTCAGAATTGAATACTGTTTGTGTTCTTAGATATCGATACGCCAATTTACAAAATTTCAATTAAAGGTAACTTGATTTTTTTAAATGAAACTACCTACTTTTTTGTACACCATCTTGTAGGAAATTTTATTGCCTTTCTAACGATATAATATTGTCAATATTTTTACCTGCTAGTTTTCTCTTAATTCCGGAATTTCTTATAATTCGCGGTAATTTTCAATTTTCAATAGTACTGTTCAAAGTGGCTCAATATAGTAAATTAAATTAAAATAAAACAAAAATTTTATAAAAGACAGTGAGTTATAAAAAAAGTATACAGATCAATCAATCAACTACAATTTATTTTATTATAGGGAGATAATGATAATGTACAAGGAATAACGTAAAGAACAGTTTTTTTTGATAGCACAATAATTTTTCTTACAGTAGATGCTTAAAGATATTGCTATTATGTTCGATTATGTCTTCTTAAAAACTAATTTTTAAAGCGCGTTAGCATGTTTTAATCAATTGATCGAAAAGCGTCTCTTATCCGGATCTTCATGTCGTTAGATGTTGTTGGCCTGCCCGTTCCCGCGATTTGACACCAATTGATTTTTTCCTATGGGGATTTGTTAAGGACAATGTCTATAGTGTTAGGCCAACAACAGCTAACTACCGCGAATACTACTAAATGACCGCGAATTATAAGAAATTCCGGAATTAAGAGAAAACTAGCAGGTAAAAATATTGACAATATTATATCGTTAGAAAGGCAATAAAATTTCCTACAAGATGGTGTACAAAAAAGTAGGTAGTTTCATTTAAAAAAATCAAGTTACCTTTAATTGAAATTTTGTAAATTGGCGTATCGATATCTAAGAACACAAACAGTATTCAATTCTGAATCCCTGTCACACAGTAGTACATTTCATGTTTACTAATAACCCAGAGTCACGGCCTTCTAAGTTTTACAAAAGCGGCAATATTCATTTTTTTTCAAACCTCTACTTTTTTCTAAAATGTCGAATTACCACTAAACGATTGGTTTTAGGTACTATGTATGGTACATAAAGTCACACTAAAATTCACTAAAGAATTCAAAAATGTTATAATATACAGGGGGTTCCATTAAAAAAAAGGTAACTTTAGTGAATTTCTAATACTAAGCCACCCTGTATATAGACGAAACTATTTTAATAATACGTAGTATTATTGTACCTACCTTTTGAAAAAAAAATCAAGTCGATATCTCAATTAGATAAAAAGTTATGGGACTTTAACGCGACCCTGGGTCACCCTGTATTAAGGTTGTTAATTTGAAATTTATTTAGGCTAAACCGGAGGTAATACAAATAGGAAGTGAAACTGTAGCAGTTGAAATATTAGAAAATATCATAGATGGTGTAATGTCTGAAGTTACCTTGCATAAACCCGTCGAAGTATTGAATTCACCGGAGAATGAAACGCACAGCGTTACCTCATCGATAACAAGGTCGGTTTTTTAATATAAATTAGCAGAAATATTTATATAACGAGTTGTTATTTCGGCGCAGGATTCCCTCGCAGGAGAGCATGGACACTCAGAGCGAAAACGACTCGGCGGTGACGGCCAAATTCACGCACATCCTGCAAAAAGACGCCTTCCTGGTGTTCCGAGCTCTCTGCAAGCTATCCATGAAACCCCTTCCGGAAGGCACGCCCGATCCCAAGTCGCACGAGCTCCGTTCGAAGATCCTCTCCCTCCAACTACTCCTCTCCATACTCCAAAACGCCGGGCCCGTATTTCGATCGAACGAGATGTTCGTCACCGCCATCAAACAGTACCTCTGCGTGGCCTTATCCAAAAACGGAGTCAGCTCCATACCCAAAGTTTTCGAACTGTCTTTGGCCATCTTCTTGGCATTGTTATCCAACTTCAAACTCCACTTAAAGATGCAAATCGAAGTGTTTTTCAAGGAGATTTTCCTCAACATTTTAGAAACCACGAACTCCTCATTCGAACATAAGGTAATTACCATCGTTTACTAGTCGATTAGGTACTGAAACTCTTCATTTTCTCGCCCAGTGGATGGTGATTCAAGCTCTAACCCGCATCTGCGGCGACGCCCAAAGCGTGGTGGACATCTACGTGAACTACGATTGCGATTTGGCGGCGGCCAATCTCTTCGAACGGCTCGTCAACGATCTGTTCAAGGTGGCCCAAGGCAGGCATTCGCTCGAATTGGGCGCCTCGCCCAACCAGGAGCGCGCCATGAAATTGCGCGGCCTCGAATGCCTGGTGTCGATATTGAAGTGCATGGTGGAATGGAGCAAGGATCTCTACGTGAATCCCAATCTGCAATCGACCGTCGGCGAGCGGGAGCATCGCGAGAACGATAACGTGTCGGTTAAATCGCTGGGCGATAGTTCGAACAGTTTGCATTCGAGCGAAAGCGACGGGAATAAGGAGATTTTAGATTCGCCCGAGCAGTTGGAGGTGCTCAAGCAACAAAAGGAGGTAAATAAATTCGCGTTTCGTAGATCCTACTCGTAGTCCTACTCGTAACGATATTAAATCTTGTAGTATTTCCTCCTCTGTATAGCACTTGTAGATTGCTTGTTTTATTTTTAGTAAATAGCCTTGTTCCAGCTTAGCTATTTTCAATTTTCAGCATGTCAAACTAATGAAACCAAATTCAGCATGCTTACCTAATTATATCGGCACGGTAAGAATATTATTTAGTAACTAAAAGTTTGCTATTATTTATCGCTTCGCAAACATTCAAATAAAAAATTCATATACTCGAAATAATTTATTCATTTTAATTGAGTTGAATTTTCTATTTGATAATCTCCACCGGCTTGCAGAGCATAATCGATCGCCGTTTGTACGTTTGCAATTCACATTCATAACAGTATCGTCCGCAATATTTTCTCCTGATCTTCAGGTGTGGGAAACGGGCATCGACATATTCAACAGGAAGCCGCGCAAAGGCGTCACCTACTTGCAGGAGCAGGGCCTGTTGGGGCCCAATCACGAGGACGTGGCGAAATTCTTGCACGGCGACGAGCGCTTGGACAAGACGTTCATCGGCGAATTCTTGGGCGACAACGACGATCTGAGCAAGCAGGTGATGTACAGCTACGTGGACCAGATGAACTTCACGAATTTGGACTTCGTCGCGGCGTTGAGGACCTTCCTGGACGGGTTCCGGTTGCCCGGCGAGGCGCAGAAGATCGACCGGTTGATGGAGAAGTTCGCCAGTCGTTACTGCGAATGCAATCCGAATAATGGATTGTTCGCTACGGCCGATACCGCCTACGTGCTCGGGTTTTCGATCATCATGCTGACGACCGATCTGCATTCGCCGCAGGTCAAAAACAAAATGACCAAAGAGCAATACATCAAACTGAACAGGGGCAATACGGAGAGCAAGGACGTGCCGGAGGAGTATTTGTCGCAGATATACGACGAGATAGCCGGGCACGAGATCAAAATGAAGAATCCCGTGAACAAGCCGGGCAAGCAGCAGATCAACAGCGAGAAGCGGCGGAAGATTTTGTTCAACATGGAAATGGAGGCGATATCGAGCGCCGCTAAGAATCTGATGGAATCGGTGTCGCACGTGCAAGCCCCTTTCACCACGGCCAAGCATTTGGAGCACGTCAGGCCGATGTTTAAGATGGCTTGGACGTCGTTTTTGGCCGCTTTCAGCGTCGGTTTGCAGGATTGCGACGATCCCGAAGTGGCCGCCTTGTGCTTGGACGGTATTCGGTAAACTACATCGAATATATAAAATATCTTTTCGTTAATCGATTGTTGTATTGCAGATGTGCCATACGAATTGTTTGTATATTCCACATGCCGATGGAGAGGGACGCTTACGTGCAAGCTTTGGCCAGATTTACTCTTTTAACGGCTAATTCTCCTATAATGGACATGAAAGCTAAAAATATCGATACTATTAAAACGTTGATAATGGTGGCGCATACCGATGGAAACTACTTAGGCACGAGTTGGTTGGATATATTAAAGTGCATATCGCAATTGGAATTAGCTCAATTAATAGGAACCGGCGTGAGGCCGGAGTTTTTGTCCGGTAAAACGACGAATTTGATTTATTAATTGCGAGCTAAGGTTGTTTTATTTTATTTAGGTCCCGGTCACAAACCTCCGGATCCCAGTTCGAAGGAGCACATAGGGCAAACTAGTTCTCAAAGCGTTGTGGTAGCCGTGGATAGAATATTCACAGGTTCGACGAGATTAGACGGAGACGCCATCGTGGATTTCGTGAAGGCTTTGTGTAAAGTATCGTTGGAGGAGCTGGCGCACGCCGGTCACCCGAGGATGTTTTCCCTGCAAAAAATCGTGGAGATTTCCTATTACAACATGGGCAGGATCAGATTGCAATGGTCTAGGATTTGGCAGGTTAGAATGTTGATGTTAATAGCATTATAATTGTAATGATGAATTGTATTTTATTAGGTATTGGGGGAACATTTCAATTTGGTGGGATGCAGTTCGAACGAGGAGATTTGCTTCTTCGCCGTGGACAGTTTAAGACAACTTTCGATGAAGTTTATCGAAAAGGGGGAATTTTCCAATTTCAGATTCCAGAAAGATTTCCTCCGTCCGTTCGAATACATAATGAAAAACAACGTATCTCCAACGATCAGAGATATGGTGGTGCGTTGCGTCGCGCAAATGGTCAATTCCCAAGCTAAAAACATCAGATCTGGTAAAATAAAACTTACATCCACAATATAGTTTTACTAATGCGCTTTAATAGGTTGGAAAAATATATTTTCCGTCTTCCACCTGGCCGCCGGCGATCAAGAAGAGGGCATCGTGGAACTGGCGTTTCAAACCACCGGTAAAATCATTATGGAATTGTACGAGAAGCAATTCCCCACCATGATCGATTCGTTTCAAGACGCCGTGAAATGTTTGTCGGAATTCGCTTGTAACGCCAGGTTTCCGGACACCAGCATGGAGGCCATTAGGTTGGTGAGAGCCTGCGCTTGTAGCGTGAGCACCGCGCCACATCTTTTCGCAGAACACGGGGGTAAATATAATTGGTTTGTTATTATGGGCGATTGTAATATTCCGTATTTGATACGTTTTAGGGTTGGAAAACGATATGACTGTGTCGGAGGAAGATAGAGTATGGGTGAGGGGTTGGTTCCCGTTGCTCTTTTCGTTGTCGTGCGTCGTTAATAGGTGTAAATTAGACGTTAGAACGCGTGCCCTTACCGTGCTTTTCGAAGTTATCAAAACGTACGGGGATTCCTTCAGTCCGCATTGGTGGAAGGATCTTTTCAAAGTGCTGTTTAGGTAAATCATTAATTATAAGTAGTTATGAATTGTAGTGACTTGTGTTTTGTAGGATATTTGATAACATGAAACTGCCGGAAAAACAACCCGAAAAAGACGAATGGATGACGACGACGTGCAATCACGCTTTGTACGCTATCGTTGACGTTTTTACGCAATATTTCGATGTGTTAGGACCTCTTTTATTAGAAGAATTATATTCTCAACTCCATTGGTGCGTACAGCAGGTAAAAATTAATATTTTCCTTATTATTTCCTAGTTATTTATTGGTGCATAATTTTAGAACAACGAACAATTGGCCAGATCCGGAACGAATTGTTTGGAAAACTTGGTGAATTCTAACGGGAGTAAATTCAATAACGAAACTTGGGACAAAACCTGTCAGTGTATTTTAGATATTTTCAAATCGACCGTACCGTCGGCCCTGCTCAGTTGGAGGCCAGAATCTATGAAAACAACGGCTGTGATCGAACAAAACGGTGACGTCGGACCCAACAAAGGTACAACGAAATGTTCATAATCACTCGATTAGTACATTTTTGAAATACCCACATATTTTAGGGATCTTGAAACGGACGAGTTACCAACAAGACATCAGCGTGGACAACGCGGAAGTGTTTAATAGTCTCGCTATTAAGAGCGCCGTACAGCTAGAACTCATCCAAACCATTGATAATATCGTGTTTTATCCGGCGACGTCGAGGAAAGAAGACGCCGAAACTTTGGCTTTCGCCGCCGCCGATATGACCGGTGATTTTTCACTGACCGAATGCCAAAGGGAAGAGCAAGGCATGTACAGGTTGCTGAGTTCGCCGCATCTTTTGCAATTGACCGAGTGCCTTTTGAAATCTCATAGGTAAGCATACTTAAATAAATGTAATTTGAATTATTAATGGTGTTGCATTATTTTATAGGTTCGCGAAAGCTTTTAATCTCAATCACGAGCAACGTAATCTGCTGTGGAAAGCCGGTTACAAGGGTCAATCGAAGCCTAATCTGTTGAAGCAGGAGACTCAAAGTCTCGCCTGTCTCTTGAGAATATTGTTTAAAATGTATTATGACGAAAGCAGACGTCAACATTGGTCTGTGGTGGAAAGTACTTTGATAACGGTGTGTCAGGAAGGATTAGAGTACTTTTTGAGGTTGCAAAGCGAGGGACATAGAGAAGCTTGGACTTCGTTGTTGTTGCTAGTAATGACTCGATTGTTGAAAATGGATGATAATAGAGTAAGTGTGTTCTGTTTTTTATTTGAAATAAGTTTATGGAGTTTTGTTTTTTTTTCAGTTCTCCGTACACATTGCTAGATATTATCCCTTACTGTGTGAAGTAGTTTGCTTTGATTTGAAGCCGGAGTTGAGGTCCATATTGAGGCGAGTCTTCCTGAGAATAGGTCCCGTCTTTCACATTACTAATGCAAGTATTTAGTTAGGGATAAAATATTAATATTTAGATATCAAACGTATTTATAGAAATTCCTGGAATACCCCCTTTTTTTATAACTTTATTCGCCTATTTTATTCAGCAAGTTACTTATCGACAATATTTTATTTTAAAAATTTACCAAAATTGGGTCAGATCAGATAAATGATGTATATCGTGTGTAAATAGTATTTTGGAATCATTCCGTTAGATTAAAAAAATATGTGCCTTCATATTTCATGTATTTGTATATTATTTATTTAGATAACGATTAAAATTACCTACACTTTGGATTTTAAGCTAAGTTATCAGTATTTAATCAAAATAATCCATTATACTATCGACCGTACCCTTCGCATTCTTTTTTCTTAGAAGCTTCCTTAGTTTTTCAAAATCGACAGCAAGTGTCTCGAAATCTCGGCGACATTTTACTCGGTACGATCGATAGTAAAAATCTATTACCGTTTTAAAAACGAGTGGTTTTAGTTGAAAACTTGAATTTCGTTATTATGTACTGGCTTATTAGACTGCAAAAGTTTTGGGAATGCATGACATTGATTCATTGAAAATGCGACGCCACATGTGACTTAACACATTATTTAAGACTACCTCACCCCTCACAATAAATTCCTGAAATCTTTGCAAAGACTAGTAAAAAAATATATTAAAAATTGTTTATTACATACATGTTTTGTAGATGTAAAGTGAATAATTTGTAAATAAAGACAGTTCAAAGTTATTTTTAAAAATCTTTATTAGTCCCTTTTTAATCCATACAGGTACCACTACTACACGAATAAATTAAAAAAAAATGTCAATTTACTATCACAGTTACAAAACATTTCATTCGAGTGCAATAGAAGTATTACACGAAAATCTATCGCTACGAGATACTGGTGTTTCAAATAATTTTGCTTACTTCAAATTATTATTTGAAACACCAGTATCCCCCAAATAGTAACTATAATTTATTTTTTTAACTTAAAAAATGGAAAACGTGCAATTTTTGCACTTAAATACTGTTAAATTCTTAGAAGTATTTGTTAAATACCACCTGTGCTTTACATGAAGAATTGAGTCACCTGAAACAATTAAAAAAAACTATTACTTCAAGTTATCTATGTAAGTGTTAATTATTAGATATTAAATAAAAGTCAGGTCTTCTTAGAGGATATATGGGTGCATATAATAATCATAGATTAATTATCATTTACGCGTCTCATCATAAAAATAGGTTTTTCATTAGAAATCAATAGATATTAGTTTATATACATACCATTCAAATAATCCTTTGGAGAACTGGATAGTCCAATCAATAACATAAAACAAAAAAAAATGTATTAGTTTACGATATACAAGCAAAAGCAACATTAATTTTAGACATTAAAAAGTCAGGTCTTCTTAGAGGATATATGGGTGCATATAATAATCATAGAATAATTATCATTTACGTGTCTCATCATAAAAATATTTTTTGCAAGAGGAATCAATATAAACGGTTTTTAATACATACCATCAAATCCGTTGGAGAACTTAGAACTTCACGGTAGTCCAATCAATAACCTATAACAAGTAAAATTGTATTAGTTTAAAATAATAAAGCAAAAACTACATTAATTTTAGGCAATAAAAGTCAGGTCTTCTTAGAGGATATATGGGTGCATATAATAATCATAGTTTAATTATCATCTACGTGTCTCATCATAAAAAATAAATTAATGGGATTAATTAATTTGTATTTTTTACATACCGTTACTGAATCCTTTTGAGTACATATTCGGCATTCCAAATTTTTTGAACCCCTTGTTGAATCCACCAGCCTTATTATAACCCCCCGAACTATTGTCCCATCTGGAATTCCCTTTGCCGAAATTATTCGTTTTTGCAGCGATTTCTTGTAATTTTGGATTCACGAACTAAAAAGAATAAAAAATCATTAAATTTCGAATTAATAACACTAAAATTATTATAAAAAATTGTATGTTGTTTTGTTGGGAAACTTGAGGATGGGATCCAGACAGTTAAAGTGTGGACACCGAAGGCATATTTCCCTAATTTAATATCCCTTTCAAAAGCACTCATGCACAGTCTATGGGTGTAGACTAAGGCATGCCAAATTGAAAGGGGATCAATTAAAATAAATCAACTGTTTAGATATATCTTACCTGTTTAGTTTCGTTCAGGATGGAGACCAAGTTTTTGGCTTGCTTGAAATTGGCAGGTGTGAAAAATGCGTATGATGTACCGACCGTGTCCGATCGGCCAGTTCTGCCGATCCTGTGGATGTAGTCTTCAGAAGAATGGGGATAATCGAAATTTATAACATACTTTATTCCTTCGACATCTATATAAAGAAACGATATTTTACCACTGATTTAATAAAGGTCCAAACTAAAGAAATAACTCGAGTATTTTTAATTTCTTTAGCTTGGTTATTAAATAGTTAGTGGAGTTGATGTAGAAATAAAATTGCTGAAAAAAATTCAAAAAAGTTTCCAGCGAATTTTAACTAGGCGATTTTTTTACAGAAGTAATCACAATTCGTTTATGTAACAAAGCATGCATTATATTATAATAGAAAAATAAAAACATACTAACCAGTTTCAAAGGAAAATCCATGAAGTTGTGATGTGAGAAAAACCGAATTTAGGAATAGTAGCAAAAATTTAATCCTGCCTGCTTCAGTGGACCTTCTGCCACCAAAAAAACATGGCGACATTTTTTATATACAAAAATAATTGGTCTACTCAAACATTGCAGTGATTGATCGACCAATGGGAAGAGAAATGACATCTGTTTTGTAGGCGTTCAAATATCCCACGTCGAAACCTAAGTTTTCAGGGAATTTTTACAGAGGACACTCTGATAAAGAACACCTAATGAAATTATACTGTTGACTTAACCAAAAATAAAATACCGTGTGAACTATCAGGTGTTACTTTTTTTTAAAGATGTCATTAAAACAATGCAACAAAAATCTTCCAAAGGTCTTCATTTTTTTACCTGAAAAGCTGAAGCGTCCTAGAAGTTAAGGGCGAAACAGCCTCGAGACACTCACAAGAAACATTTGCTTAATTTTTTTTTAACAAAATGAACTTCAAACGCTCATCGTGTATGTGCCTCTGAAAATAAAAAAATAGGGCGCCCAGACTGATTACTAAAAAAAGCAATTCACATTTAAAAATTATTTGCAGCAAGTAAATTATTAACCAAGTGGCCCAATATTGATTTAAGACTGTAAATAAATATAAAATGAATGAATAAATGCAATAAAGAACCATAAACTAGCGCTTAAAATAGTATGATATTGAATGCGATTCGTTAAATGTTTGTAATTTAAATTAAAATTGCATCATAATATTTTACGCCGATTAATAAATCTAATATACATACAAACAAATATGGTAAACCAGTCTGAAATCCCCGATACTGCTACTATGCCACAATCTAATTAATTTTGCTTATTCGAACTTCTATTCCCACAATTCAAAGGGGGGTTAATTCGTTAAAATTGATTGATATCACAAATGAACATGGTAAGATTCCAAACAAACCGATTTACTGTTTTTTCCTTCCTACTCCTCACGTAGGAAACTCACCTAGCCCCCTGGCGGCCACGTCGGTAGCGACCAGTATGGTCGATTTTCCGTTTCTAAATTCTCTCAATACATGGTCACGCTCCTGTTGGCTTTTGTCACCATGAATTGAGAGAGCCGGCCAACCGATCCTCCTTATCGACTTCGCGATACCTTCCACTTTCTTTTTCGTTTCCACGAATATGATCACCTTCGAACCGGGCTCGGCGTTCGTACCGATATCGGACAGCAGAGTGTTTAATCTGCAAATAAAATTCAACTATAAATAATGTATATAGTACGAGAAATATATTTTTTTGTTTGTTTTAAACGAAATCAGGTCTTCTTAGAGGTAGTAAAGGGTGCGGTGAAGTAATCATAGATTTAATTCATCCAGCTGGCTCATCATTTTTGATTAAAAATTAGTAATATACATGATTTATTATGGAATAACTTACCTCGTTTCCTTTTCGTGCTCCTGGACAATCTCGACGAATTGTACGATATTGTTATTGGCGGCCAAATTTTTCGAGCCGACGTTCAAATGCACGGGATTCCTCAGGAAATCTACCGCCAATTTTTTCACTTCCTTCGGCCACGTCGCCGACCACATCAACGTCTGCCTGTCCGGTCTCACTTGACTAAGAATCTTGCGAATTTGCGGTTCGAAGCCCATATCGAGCATCCTATCGGCCTCGTCGAGCACCAAGTAAGTGCACCGTTCCAAGTTGGTGGTACCTTTTTCGAGGAAATCGATCAACCGACCGGGCGTCGCGATGCAAATCTCGATGCCCTTTTGCAGATCGCGAGCCTGCGGATTCTTCGGCGCCCCGCCGAACACGCAAGTGTTGCGGATCTGCGTGGAGCGACCGAAGTCGTTCGCAACGACCTGTATCTGTTGGGCGAGCTCCCGCGTGGGGGCCAGCACGAGGGCAATCGGCCCGTCGCCTCGACTCAACGCCGGTTGGTTGTTAATGTGTATAGCAGCCGGTAGGATATAGGCGAGAGTTTTACCGGAACCGGTGTGAGCTATACCGACCATATCGTGTCCGCTCATGGCAATCGGCCAGCCTTGCGATTGGATCGGAGTGGGTACTTCGTAGCCCTTGCTCACGATCTCGCTCAGGATGTATTCGGGGAAATTGGCCTCGTCGAAGTTCTGTATGGGATTCGGCGCCTCGCCTTCTACGGAAATCTCTTTCGATTTGCGGTATTGGTCGACTTCGAACACCGACCGGCCGGCCACGTTCGGATGGGGCACGTAGCAATAGCGCTTGAACTCGCTCAGCGTTTTGTTGTCCCATTCGACTTGGCGTAGGGTGGAGTTTTCGGCGAATCGTTGCGGGGTGTTGCGGTTGTAATTGTTGTTCTGGTAGCCGCCGCCGCCGCCGTTGCGGTTGTAATTATTGGACTGGCCGAAGGGTTTATTTTGGTTGTAACCGCCGTTGGGTTTGTAGTTGTAGCCGTTCGAGTAGGGCTGATAGCTGTGGCCGGTCTGCTGGTTGTACGACCTATTAGAAATGCCGTTATTTTCAAATGTTCTGGTTACCCGGTGTTGGTAAGCGTGTCGAAATTAATAAGCTTTAATTCGAATTTATCACCAAATCAATATCATTCGTGTACGAAGTGTGATAATGTGCGAATTATGGTCTTCGTTCGAGCAGTTTCTATTTAATACAAATTCTAGCGCTCTTCTACTCTTATTTACGACAATAATCCGTTTGTTATTATCACATTTCGTACTCTGATTTTTTGTAAATTTTAGTTCGAACAATACAAAATGAATTCAACGAAAATCAAATAAAATCTAATCTAACCTTAGAATAAAAGTACCAAGCCTGCATCGAGATAAAGTCGACCTATTAAAAAAATAAAGAAAAAATTTAGATTCGTTGTTAATTTTTCCGTGTAGAAAATTGGCTAATGATAGTTATGATGTTAGCGAAACATTTCGAATATCGATTATATGAAATAGGTCAAAATGCTGTTGCTAGGCGCTATGCGTGGAAAATTTCGATTGCATTTACGTCATTTTCCATGAACCTTGAAATAAAAATACGCATACCCCATTAGATTAGAAGCCGTTTTAAAAAGAGCATTAACTGTACTTTTACTTTAATTCGATCGAAAATAAAATTTCACGCTTCCGTGAACACGTTTTAGATATTAAAATGGTGGTCTTCATTTTAACACGATAAATTTTAAATACCGTCTGGATTAAATAAATACTTACATTTTGCTTTTTAAACGCCTGATCGAACTATTTCACTTCTTAAAATAAGTTTAAATTAACTGGCGTGTTTATAAAGTTATAAATTTTATACAAAAAATTCACAACTCTGACAACACTACCACTCACGTCGAAAGTCAAAAGCAAAAAGGAGGAGACGGAAACGAAAATCTACGTTGAAGTAAGGAGGGAGGCTGAAACAGGATATGACGTAGTCATCGTCTTGTCAATATTCTTCGTTTCTAAAATGGATTCAAAAAAGGAGATTATTACACTGAAGTTAGTCACACAAAAAATGTCGCTAAGCGTGTGCGACGTTTCGCAAGAGGCCGTTAAACCAGAAAAGAAGAAGACTATCATAAATATTTTAGGTTATTTCAAAATTTTGACGTTTAGTGACAAAAAACAAAATGAATAATGAAAATAATGCAAACAAGCAAGGTAATCAAACTATTCCAATATTCAATTCCCCATTTCATTTACTTCTAATTTCAGATGTACCTGAAGTAGATAACAAGGAAGCAGACTCGCAGAAAGAGGCAGAAAGCACCGATGCCCCAACGGCTGTTTCGAAAGAATGCGATTCGAAAAATGTACATTACGAAGGAGATGTAGCTGTTTATACAGACACCGAAAGCGGTGCCCAATTCACCTGGGATAAGGAAAAAAATGAATGGGTTTTAAGGAATGTCGAGTACGGATTCGAAGATGATACACACGTTTACACCGATTCCGAAGGAGTAAAATACTTTTGGGATAAGGAAAAGAACGCTTGGTTTCCAAAAGTGGACGACGACTTTATGGCTAGGTAACGCATATTCTTAACTCACGAAAAAAACGTAGTAAATTTTGACTTTTAGGTATCAAATGAACTACGGATTTGTAGACAACACGAATGTTGAAGTCAAAAACAACGACCCGCCCCCTAAACTTCAAGAAAAAGCAAAGAAGAACAAAGGAGAGAAGAGGAAAGCATCGGCGCCTACTTGGTTCGAAGTGGACGAAACGCAAAACACCAACGTTTACGTATCGAATCTACCAACGGATATCGAAGAAGAGGAATTCATAGATTTAATGCAGAAATGCGGTTTGGTGATGAGAGACGCGCAGTCGGGGAAATTTAAAATCAAACTCTACAAAGAACCAGGCACGGATTACCTAAAGGGCGACGCTTTATGCACTTACATAAAAGTAGAATCGGTCGAGTTGGCTTTGAATATATTAGACGGCTTCAATTACAAAGGGCGCAAAATCGGCGTGGAGAAAGCGAAATTCCAGATGAAAGGCGACTTCGATCCCAATCTCAAACCGAAAATGAAGAAGAAAAAGGACAAGCTCAAAATCAAAAAGCAACAAGAGAAGCTGTTCGATTGGAGGCCGGAAAAACCCGTCGGGGAACGAGCCAAGCACGAAAGAGTAGTCATAATTAAAAATCTCTTCGAACCGCAGATATTCGATACAGACGTGGGACTCATCTTGGAGTTCCAGCAGGACTTGAGGGAGGAGTGCTCCAAGTTGGGAGAAGTCAAGAAAGTGCAAATTTACGATCGCCATCCGGAAGGGGTAGCTCAGATAAACATGAGTTGTCCCGAGGAAGCCGAACAAGTGGTCACCGTGCTGAACGGGAGGTGGTTCATGAAGAGGCAACTTACAGCTGAGATATGGGACGGTAAAACCAAGTTCAAAATAGCCGAAACGGACTCGGAGTTAACTCAGAGACTCGACAATTGGGATAAATTTTTGGAAACCGACGAGAAGGATAAAAACGATGCAAAACCGATAGCTGAAACAAAAGTTAGTTCATTAGATGAAGATGAGAAGGATAGAAATGATGTAAAACTAAATGCTGAAAATAAAGTTAGTTTATAAGTTGTTTTTTACATATTTTAATTTTATACTGTGTATAATTATCCAATTTTACCAAAAATATAAAAAAATCGGTTTCAATTACAGAACTTCAATTTAAGAAAAGGTGAATTAATTCGACAATAATTTCCTTGGATTACATAACGGGCAAACCTTTATTATATCCATGAAATTTGTTACATTCAATTTAAAGATAACTAAATGAGAAAAAGAAACATTTTAAAATTACAACTAGAATATTAATACTGTATTACGTTCAAGAAATGCACTTGCTAGAAACTTACAGAAGAGTATAAATAAATTATATTATATTCTTAGAGAGTTTTTTTCAACATGCGAGGGCCATGTAACTAAGATATTTTACCTTTTTGAATGGTTCATTATAATACTATATGCTCTAATATGGACCAAAACTCGCGTATTTTTAAAATCACATTAGATTTGAAAGCAGTTCTGGTCAGGAGACCTATAACTAAGAGGTATTATTTTCGAGATTTTTACATTCCAGAATATAAAATTTCTGATTATAAATTAAAAATATTTCAATTATATAAAATCGTCGATCGTTACTATGCAATGGCGCGAACTTGATAACGCTATAGAATAATTTAATAACTTTGTGCAGTACTTCTTTTTTTTAAGTGTTTTTTAGCTAAACACATTTGTAAATGCATTCAAATATTTCTTACTAAAAATACTTATAAAATATACTGTTGCATATTAACCGTACAGTTCGTTTGGTTGAACAAAAATAAAAACATAATTCACAAAAAAAATCTACAGCAATTTCTAAATTTTGCACTCTGTCCGATTTCTTAGAGAATCGCTTTTATATCTTTTTTATTTTTACAAAAAACAAAATAAACCGTGACTAAAATTGGTATTAATGATTTTTCTTTTCAAGAGGCTGGAACGGCCAGTTTAAAAAAAATATATTATTTCAGTCTTAAGAGAAAATATCACAATTCTTTCAATGTATGCAAAAATACATTTTAAACAGGGGGGCGCTTCTCCCGATTCGGAAAAGTTAATATTATTCTTTTGCTACCGTTACACGCTAAAATATCACAGATGGACGTGAGCGCTTTTTTTTAGCACCACGATAAAACGACGAACGAGTTAAATACTTAATACTACAAATATTTACACGACACAAGCAGTCATGTCAAGATCCGTAATATATAAAAGAAACCAAAAAAAAAAATTCGATTACGAGTAGAAAAAGTCACTAGCACCCAACGCGTACTCCTTAAAAATTCTTAAGAACTCTCACTCTGGCTGATCAACACAGTCAAACATCCATACTTCAAAGCTATTGCCATTTTAGTAACTTTTACATTTTTATTTAACGAATTCAAAAATTTTCTGAATAAATTAAAAAATATTTCTATAAACATTCTGGGACAATAAAATCCGAAATGTAGGCTTTAGTCTTCAACTTCATTTTTTTATGTGATCACAGTGAAAAATATTTTACAGATCTATTCAATCCGAATTCATTCGATTGCCATCGATCTATAAAAGAAACACTCTGTACAACACCTTATACCCTGTTGTTGTTCAACTAAAATTATAATCGTTTTCTTAGTTTTGATTCTATCATTCCCGGATAATTAAATTAGCTCCTGCTAATTTCTCATGTCAATCAAAAATGTACTTCCCTTAGGAATAATATCACATTTCTATTACACGCAGAAATATAAAGTTTTGACTGCTTTTCAACTATTTTTTTAATATTAATAACTAGATAGGTACGATACTCTTCAAAACAGTATCAATATGTATAAAATACTCTTAACGAAATAAGCCCAAAACTCCCCTTCTATATGTTTCGTGCATTTCAACAGCATACAGACATATATTGTTTACTAGAAACTAACAACTCACACAGAGTATACGCTATAAATTATGAATTCCGCCAACTCCAAGAGAATATTCGCATATAAATGAGTACGAGATAAATGCGGACTATCACTAAAATAATTTCTTAGTTTCTGTCAATACTGTAATCGATCGCGAACAGTTTTTGTATTTTTCGGAAAAAAATAAGTTATAGTTATATTGGAATTGGCGAAATTCCGACTTAAATGTATGACATCAACTGCTGAACGGCCAACATCAGCGGGGAGAAGGCGCAATGTTACCGTAGCAGTAAACAAACAGCTAGACGGATAGCCTCTTTTAAGGTTTTCGAGGGAACAATAGAACTAGAACATTGAATGGAGAATATACCATCACGTCGGCGTAACTAATTCGAACGAGTACAAACGAAATTTCGCGAAATTTACATCATTCCAAATTACACAATTATTCGATAACCGATTCTAATAACAAAAAAATATTATCTCGAAAATTTATGACTCGTACATACCGCATATTATCGAAACGATTTGTAGATTGTTCTGGCAAAAAATAATTAAATTTACGTGTACGAAAAAAAAGTAAAGAGAGACTTCCGACGTGCTAGCAATAAATCTTAATATAAAAAAAAACGTAAGCGAAAAATTAAACAAACACATACGAATACACACAAACTACTTATTGTTGCACCGCAGCAGTAGGTGGTTGTGTGTATTGATAGGGATACGGTACGGCGGTTTGGTACTGATTGTAAGCAGTAGTCGGCTGGCCCTGGCCGACGGACTGATAGGCGCAGGGGTTCGTGGCTCCCGGTAGACCTCTGCTTTGGAAGAATTTATGATTCAGGATGGACTGCATGCCGTCGTTGGCGGTCGCCGATTGCATCATGTATTGCGGAGGTAGGGCGTGGTAGACGCCCGTTTGAGGAGCTTGATAGGATTGGCGATCGTTGTAACGCTGATTGGCGTACGTGCGGGAATTGTTACCTGCAAAAGACACGAAAATTAGTTACATGTTGTAATTAGCGAGTTATTAGTACACCTACCGTAATTATTTCTTTGCCCGTTGTTATTCATTTGTTGTTGATACATGTTATTCGGGTTGTACGATTGTTGTTGTTGGTACACTTGCCCGTTTTGGTACTGGGAGTAGTTGTTGCCGTAATTGCCTCTCTGGTTCCTAGACATACCGTCGTTTCTCATTCCGCCGTTGTTCTTGTACATGTTATTCGATTTGTAATCGCCGCCGTTGGTGTATACTTTCGGGTTCGACCACGTTTTCACCTTGCCTCCGGAATGTTGGCTGCTATTGCTGGGAGACGAATTGTCTTTGTTGCGGCTTTGCCAACGGTTTTTGCCGTTCGAACCGTTCTTGGCTTGCTGGGCCAGCTCCATGAGCTCGGCGTTGACTTCTTGGCCGGCCTCTTCGAGCACGGCGATCAATCCCTTCGCCTGCCTTTGGTTGTTGGGCGTGAAGAAAGCGTAGGCGGTACCGGCTTGTTGACAACGACCGGTCCGACCGATCCGGTGAACGTAATCCTCGCTGGAGTTGGGATAATCGTAATTGATCACGTATTTGACGTCTTCGACGTCCAATCCTCGAGCGGCGACGTCCGTGGCCACTAAAATGTACGATTTTCCCGATCGAAATTCGTTCAAAACGTAGTCGCGTTCCGGTTGGGATTTATCGCCGTGTATGGAAATGGCGGCGAAACCTTCTCTCTTGACCACTTTAGTAATATCGTCGACTTTCTTTTTGGTTTCCACGAAGATGATCACTTTGTTCGTTCTATCTGAACAGACTTCCTTCAGAATTCTTATAAGTTTATCTTCTTTTTCGGATTCTTCGCAGACTTCCACTATCTGCTTTATGTTATGGTTTGCCGATAACGACAGGCCTCCCACGTTTATCTAACAAAAATAATATAAAATTAATTACCATTATCTATAATAAAAAATTAAAACGTACTTGTACATAGTTCTCCAAAAATTCCTCGGCTAGTGCCTGGACTTGCTTGGGCCAAGTAGCCGACCACATCAACACCTGCCTGTCGGGCCTAATTTGTTGGATGATTTTCCTAATTTGCGGTTCGAAACCCATATCTAACATTCTATCGGCCTCGTCTAAAACCAAGTACGTGCATTTGCCCAAGTTCGTCGTCCCTTTTTCCAAAAAGTCGATCAATCTACCGGGTGTAGCGATTACGATTTCGACGCCTCGTTCCAGATCCCTAGCTTGTGGTCCCTTAGGCGATCCTACACAATAATATTTAACATTAATCGACTCAAATTTTTAATTTAAAACGAGTACGAACCTCCGAAAATGCAAGTGTTACGAATCATGGTGGTCGTACCGAAATCGTGGGCTACTTTTTGTATTTGTTGGGCCAACTCCCTAGTTGGAGCAAGAATTAAAGCGATCGGGCCTTCCCCTCGTTGCGGCCTTTGTTGGTGGTTGATATGCACAGCTGCTGGAATCATGTAGGCTAGAGTTTTTCCCGAGCCGGTTTGAGCGATGCCCACCAAGTCCCTGCCCGAAAGTACCACGGGCCAACCTAAACAAACACTACATTAGTCAACAATTAAAGCATTAAGATAATTACATTACCTTGCGATTGAATAGCAGTGGGCTCGTTGAATCCCTGCTTGATAAGGATCTGCATAATGTACTCGGGAAAGCTGCCTTCCTCGAAGCAGAAATTCGGATGCGGAACGTTGTCGCCTTTGACGATTATATCCATTCGAGACCTGTAATTTTCAATGTCGGTCGGCGATCTCGCCAACGTCGAGTGATGTGGCTCGTAGAAGTTCTTCCTGAACGGCTGAAGCTCCTGGCTCTGCCACGTGGGCACCACCAAATCGAGGTGGTTCTCCTGCGACTTCAACGGTTTCCGCTTGTACTGTTGCTTGGGGCCGCCGAAATCCTGCACGGGGGCCATCGTGTGCTGGGGAGGGCCGCACCAATAATTCGACTGCTTGTTGTAGTGGTGCTGTTGGTCGCCACCGTGATCTGGCCTCGATCTGAACCTATCAGGACACCAGTTACAGTACGTAATGAGTTATTCTATCGAGTAGTGAGTTAAATGGTCGGTTTAGAAAGGAAATTTTCTGTGCTTGGCAACTAGTGAGAAATTGTTTTAAAATTAGTAATATTAATTACTAATAAAAGTATGCGAATTAATTTTGTTTTGCATATTCAACAAAAAATTTATAATATTTATATAAGAATAAATATTTCTTACATAAAAACTAGTAGATATTTACGACTTTCACAGTAATTTTTATGAAATATATTGCACGTATGAATAATTTTATTATGAACGTGTAGAATTTGACAATTAAGGATTACCGAAACAAAATGGTGGATCATTCGTAGGGATTAATTAATTTTTCACTACAACGCAATCTATTACGAGTGTGAGTGTGAATAAAAGAAAAGCAATAAAACGGTACTTACATAGTATTATTGTGGTAAACGTTATTATACTGCATTATTGCAGTGGATGTGAAGAGCAAGTTTTGCAAATGGCTTCTGACAATAAAAAAATCTGGAAAAAAAGCACAAATGTTTCAACACGCGCGTTAGCGTACGATCGAATTGGGTTTGTTTAAGCGAAAATTCGAGGATAAATAATTGTGGCTAGTGGAAAAATGATTAGATTTTTGTTCTTAACATATGCAAAACCTCACCTTGCTCCAACCAGGCCGGCCAACAAAATGATGTTTGAACTGCGCAGATTTGTCACGCAACCTTAATGGCAGCGCGCAATGATTGGCGACAAATCGATGCGCGAAAATCGCGGTGAAAGTTGCACGCGCATTTCCTTGTGCCTCGGTCAAAATTAATTAACTTTTCCAATTAATTTTCTCTACTTTATGAAATTTAGACTGAATTATATTGCGAATTTTTCTTGTCACTTCTTGAAGTTTTAATTTTGAATGACGTAAAAATCCCGTAAATTATTACCCACTTACTTTTACGTATGCTCCGTAGTCGACTAGTAATCGATTTTTGAAATATTACTGTTGAATTATTCTAAATTCGATAATAAAATAATTTAATATAATTTTCTTTAAATTGATTTTTGATTCAAGCACGTGGCGTCATCTGTTAATCGGAAGTGTAAAAACCTAATTACTATTAGGTTAAAAAGAAGAAGTGCTAACTTCACACCTAACTGTAGATTAGACAGGACCGGCTTCAAATGTTTTCTCAAATGGTCACAATCTAAATGCGCGTACTAAATTTTTATTATCAGTAGATACAGGAAAATAAAATACAAAATACAAAACGTTTTAATTTTTATCATATTAAATGACTTCGGATATTGATTGAAATTTACCTTCCTAGTAATTTTTGTTTGTCACAGGTTTTCGTTGTACACATTATTACTGAAATAGTAAAAAGATTATTCTTGAAATTATCCTTATCCTCTAGAATAGCTACAGAGCGATTTCAATTGTTCTGAAAATCAATAAATAGGCAAATAAACTATTACCAGGATTGCAAATGTGAAAGTATTAAAATGAAAAATGCATACTTTACAACTTTTGGATGATTAATATAAAAATCGAACGTACCAAACAATGTAAAATTCAATTATGATTTGCACATAAAATAAAATAAGGTATATGCGAGTTTCCAGTAGGATGATAAACTAATTAAAAATTCATTTACCTTATCGAATTTCCAATCTTCATCGAACCGCATTGGCCGTATTTAAAATGAATATGTAACTGTAATCGATATTTAACAATACAATAGGACATCAAAAAAATAATATGCGGGGTAAGTTATTGCTAAAGCACCATTAATTTTTTTCGGCAATCGGTTATTTTAGTAAAAACAATGATTTTAAAACTGGTTTATTTGGGTCTTTTAATAACCGTAGTGGTTGGGGAATTGAGCGTGAAGGAACAGTGGAAAGCGTACAAGGTAAGTCAAGCAGCACTTAATAACGAGTAAATTTATAAGGGTATTTTTCGTTTTTAGAAAAAATACAACAAAGTTTACTCGCCCAGCGAAGATGCCTACCGGTTCGAGGTGTTCGCAAGCAATTTGGATTTCATTAACGAGGTGAATCAAATGCACGAGCAAGGCAAAAGCAACTGGTTCGGGAAAATCACCAAGCACACCGATTGGACGAGCCGAGAAAAGCAGGACATAGAAGAGAAACAAAAGTTGAAACGCTACATTATAGATTAATCGCGCCCTAAATACAATTTTTTGTACTTACCGATTCGCATTACAATTACTACAAAAAAACATTCCCAGTATAATAAACCACGTTTAGTCGATGTAAAAGGCGTAGATGTATTTTATACTAAGATCACAGCTTTAAATATCACATTGTTTTTTCTTCGAAACGGCGTTACTACGAGCTTATCGCGATATCGCGGCGCCCTGCATGGATTTTCGCGGGGGTTGATGTTGATGGGGCGTGAAAGCGGCCCAGCCCGTCCCGGCGTCCACGTCGCGATCCATACCGGTAATGACATATTCTTGTCTCAACATTTCAATTCTATCGTCGATAGTTGGACCGACTGCAAATTAGATATTTCAATTAGATTCGTTTCGAAATTAATCAAATCGGCCCAAAGGGTTACCTAAAAGAAACTAAACTCTTTCTTTAGTAACACAAATTATGATATAGTAGTAGGTGAGTAGGATATTTCGAATTAGGAATAACAGTGATGGGAGTGTAATTATAATTTTGTTGAACTTCGATAGTTTTTTTTTATTATTTGATAATTAAATATTTCACGAAAATAGTGCAACAACGAACCGGAGATTCACAATCAACAAACCCGGCTCACAAATAAATATTCACATAATACTAATTCAAAATATAAAATATTAGTAGAGTTGCTGATAAATCGTAACAGTCAATAGAAATTTGAAAACAATACTTGTAGTCTCATAGTCAATTCAAAATGTGTTCATTTTGTACTTCTATCAAAAGTTTTATCAAGTAAACTCTACCGTTCGGTTTTTTTGTCTAATCAACATACATGCACACAAACGAACGCGTTGTAGCGCTCACACAAGAAAGAAAATAGAGTTCTAAGAGTATTGTCGACTAAAACTTTTCCAATATTTTTTTAAATCATTCATTCGACGTTCTAAACTTTTCGTCTACTGTCATATACATGCCTTCCTCCTGGTAGACCGAATCGTGTTTCGCCAGGATACGCAGCAGAGGGCGCAAGTGTAACCACCACTGCTCCTTAGGAATACGCAATCTACGGGTAAACAAACATCTAAGTTACCCCATTTCCGAATAAATGGTAGAAACTTACTGGAAATTGGTTTGTTCCTTGATATCTTCCATGGACGTACACACGTAGGATCTCTTCTTGATGCCCAACACGCAAACGGTATGGGGATCGGTGCATTCGACTTCACCCTTGGCGTTCAAATTACCTCTTAAATTGCACGACAACCAATCGACGGCTTTAGTGGCCATTTTGGTTCCTAAATTTCTATCGAACGGCGACGGGGAACCGCCCTGTTGCATGTGACCTACGGTACAAGTAAACTTCACAATCGCCTATTAAGATATTCCATCGTATATACCGAGTATGTTCATCCTGGCGCTGAACAATCCCTTCCCTTCGCCCGAATACAAGCGATAAATGAACTCGGTGTTGTAATACTCGGAGGCCTTTTCGTTTCTCAAAATCAACCCTCGTTGAACCCCTTCGGCCATTTTCGAAGCCACGTGGTACACGTCTTGTTGTAGCTCTTTGATGCTGAAATGTTCTTCGTATATGTAAGCAGCATCCGCTCCACCGGCGAGACCTTTAACGCAGCCACATTAAAAACTCCGAATAATTCATCGAGCGTAAGTTTTACCAGCTAACGTGGCCAAATATCCGCAGTACCCGCCCATCGTCTCGACGATAAACACCCTTCTCTTGGTACCTTGCGCCGATTGCCTGATTCTATCGCAAATATCGGTTATTTCGTTGACGGCCGTGTCCGTGCCCAAGGAGAAATCGGTACCGGGCATGTTGTTACTGATGGTACTCGGGATTAGTATCATCGGTATGCGGAACGATGGGTATTTATCGCGAGCGTCGGACATCTGTATGAGAGCTTGGAGACCCTGAAAACGTACAATATATTCATTGGAATAAATCGTAAATTAAACACCAACCTCGAATCCACCGATGACGAGCAGCCCTTGGATTTTGTGCTCGGCCAGTTTGGCGGCCACGTCGCCTATTCTATCGCCCGGTAGAAGCCTCTTGGTGCCCAACAGGGCACCGCCTTGACCCACCCAGCCGGTTACGTCCGACCAACCTAACGAATATCGTTTAATTAGAGTAATTTAAAAGATTTACAGATATGTAAAACGCACCGAGTTGATCGATATTGCCGGCCAATAAACCTTCGATGCCATCGTGTATTCCCAATACGGTGTCGCCGCGGTAAATGCAATTTCTAACAAACGATCTGACGGCCGCGTTCATTCCACAACACGGCGCCCCAACGTGCATTACAGCCATTACATAACCTTCCTGCAATGGCAATTATTTTAGTACAGTGGATAATAAAAGGAACATCAAAGCAGGACCAAAGCGTGAAGCTCAAAGAACAGTAGAGTGTTTCTAAAAGAACAGTACAAATAAAATATAAATGTGGTGTACTACTGGTGAAAGCAGCAAAATAATACAGAGGAGCACGGGAAACGTAGTGGGTCATAAAAATGTATACTTACGGAACCCCAAACTGTATCTTGCTATTAAAAAAAAGGGTATTGTTAGTAAAAAATAAACACACGATACATAAAATCCCAGTGTTTTGGAAAGTGCTATTAAATTAGTCAAACATATAACACGCATGCCATAAAAAAGGGAATAAAACGAACCCAGTATACATATAAGTACCTTTTTGAGTGTATGCTTCAGATTGCATTAAAAATAAAGCATTATATTTAGTCGAACAAACGATTCTATATGTTAAATTAAACCGTTAAACCATCAAACAGGAAGTTAACAAAAAAACTCACCTCTCCCTTTAAACCCTTCTGAGTGTAAAACTCCTTAGGCGGTTTGAGTTGAGTAAGCAATTTGTAAGTTTCTAAATTCCTTTGGAACGATTTACCTCTCAATTCCACAGCCCTTTGCCAATTCTTCTCGGCCATGGCCTAAAAACAGTGGGTATATTTCTCGGCTTATCATTTTTTTACAAATACTCGTTTACCTTAGCCACTTCTTTAGTGAGTTTCACGCATTCCATCAAAGGCAATCGGACAGCTTGATTACCGTCCAAGGATATTACGCAGGGCTCGGCCGTATCCTCCGCCTCCATGAGGGCTAACACAGCCTCGGCGCCCATTCTCGAACCCTAATACAATCGATTCGTTTTAATTTTGATAGATCTTCAACGAGGATTACTTACCAAAACCCTGTCGAACGCCGAAGGACATCCGCCTCTTTGCACGTGACCGAGAACGGTGATCCTGGTGTCCTGATGGAGATTGTCCTCGATCACCTTCTTCACTTGCTCGGCGGTTATGGCTTTCCCGTTCCGATCGATGGCCCCTTCGGACACTATGATGATGTTCAAACGTTGACCGGCCGTCCTTTCCTGAATCACAAATTCGTATAAATAGACAAATAAGTACAGGAAAACGGGGTGATATGTTGATTAGATGAATATTATACCAGGTTTAACTTATCACAAAGCTTCACTTCCCAATTTTCTACCGGTTCTTCGGGAATCAACACGAAATCGGCTTCCGATGCTAAACCGGTCACCACTGCTAAATAACTACAAAGAAACGTACACGGTTAGTAAGCGAGTAATTAAACAAATAGCTACACACGGCCCGATTTATTGAAAAGTGCTGTAAGGAAAACGAATAGATACAACAAAAGATGTCGTTTGCAGATGGAATAAAAACCGCTCTAAATGTGAACAAAGTCAATTGTTAGTAAATTGTTAGTCATTCGAATAAAACAAATACTGACGAAATAGTCTACCTGTTCTAATTTTTTGCAGAGTTTAGTTTGCCAGTCGTCGGGCGGAGGAATCTCCGGTATGAAAACGTAATCGGCTTCGGATGTCAAAGCCGCTACGAGAGCCAAATACCTGGAAAAACGTCAGCCTTATGTAGGCTAAATGTTTCTTCAACGAGAAAATCCACCACCAAGATCAAAGAAATAAAAAGCCAAACGAACAAACGACCTTTTATACCTTTTATACTTCAAAAAATATAATTACTTACCCACAATGCCTTCCCATAACTTCCATAATGAACGTTCTTTGATGGGAATACGCCGTGCTGACGATAGCATCAATAGCTTCGATGATTCTGATACGATAAAAAAAATTGTACTCGTTATAGAAAACCTGCTTAAATAAACTCACCGATGCAAAGCGCTGTCAGTACCTATCGTCATGTCGGTACCGCAAAAATCGTTGTCGATGGAACCGACCAAACCGACGATTTTCAAATTTTTGTGCTTATCCAACTGCTCCTGCGATATTGTCTTATTGGACACTAATTCCTCGAGAAGGGAGCTCCACTCTTGCCTGAATAAATCGGCACCGGTGAGACTGCCATCGCCGCCGATAACCACCAAATTGTTGATTTCCTTCTCGACTAGATTGGCGGCTGCTTTCAAACGACCTTGTCGTTCTCTGTTAGAGTTATTTAGTTACTCAATTTCGGGGTAATGTTTTACGACTTACTTGAAATCCATGCATCTCGCGGACCCGATTATAGTACCCCCTTGGTGTATAATAGAACTTACGGAACTCCAGGTAGCTTCTACTATGTTCTCGCCTCCATCGACCATGCCTAAACGCACAAATCAATTCGTAACATCGAGTAATTGAATCTGTAATTGGCGAACGTACCTTGGTACCCTTCTTTGATGAAATAAACTTTGCATCCGAGGTAAATGGCGACGCGTACGACTGCTCGTACAGCAGCATTCATGCCCTAGAATTAATAGAATTAATAGTTTATTTCGTTCGCTCGTATTTTTCGAATCTAACCTGTGCATCGCCCCCGCTGGTAAAGACTGCGAGAGTTCTGTCTTTGTAAACGCCTCTTTCTATGAATTTTGTCGCGTGAGCTGTGCTAACTCTCGGTATCATTTTTGCTAGAAAAAAAAATTAAATATAAAATAAAAATATACAAAAATTTGTTAATGAAAAACATCAATTTTGACTTTTGAGACTTATCAATTACTGTTAAGCACTCTCTGGCTGTAAAATCGAGTGAAACAAAACAAACCTAGCAGGCAAAGATAAGATAACTGTTGAAATAAACAAATACTTACTTACTAAAAAGTTCCTGGCTTATCTAAAGAGAGTGAAATTTATACTGAAGCTGTACTTTAAATTAAAGCTGATAGGAACGTTACCCTTCTTCAAGGTGACCTCTGAACTATCAATTAACAGTGCCAATACGTAATTCTATGTTTCCATTGGGCAAAATCAGGTGTTAAAACCACCACCCTCCACGAAATTTCTCTTCAACACGTGATAATCAGCACGTTCGGAGCCCGAAAAGCCGGCAATTGCACTCAGCTATTTAAGAATGTTCTACAGGAATGAGTGAACTAAAAACATACATGTTTGTTTAATATTTTTTAATGGATTTTTATTGGAAAAATGATATCAATTTCTTTGGTTATATAAGAAGAATAACATTTGGCAACCGATCGATTTAATTTGACACTTTTCTTCTTTTTATTTATTCAAATTTTAATGAGATAAAAAATCTACTATGAACACGGAACGATGAGTTTAGACATACACACAATTCTGTGAGCTCCTGTCTCCTAAAAGGTATGCAACACATTTGACTCGTAAGTAAGGAAAGATTCAAAAAAATTCCAACAATTATTTTTTAACTCGACTATAAAATACAATAATAATAACATAAACGATAAAATGTATTAACAATATTTCTTTAAAGTATATACAATAAGTTAAATCGAAAAGAAAATTTAGTCAATTACACAGCCTTAATAATTTGTGGAACACCTTCTTCGTTAGGTTTCACCCTAGTCGCTTGATAAGCGTCACGTTCTTTATCCGGGTGCTTAGTTGGAAGAATCGGAGAATGGATATTCGCTTTCGCAGGATATCTAGCACGAGAAACTCAATGTAAGGACACAATTAAATAATTTTAATCGATAATCAACGTACTTGATTCCAGCAATGTCGATTTCAAAGTCTCCGCTATTGATGTAATCGGTAGTTACTCGTTGTTTATTGCCTTTTTCGTCGTAGTTTTCAACAAATCCGAGGCACACCTTTACGATAATTAAATGTAATCAAGTAAATATTATTTAAAGCGTACATACTTGTTTTTTGAATGTAAATCCGTAACCTGTTGTAGTGGTCATCCCGACATATATTCCATTCCTGTAAATCGGTTCGCCTCCCCACGGCCACAAATCCGTTTCCACATCGTGATCCTCCAAAATCAATTGCAGGTACACCCTTTTCACGCCTTCTTCTCGTTGCTTCAACAGCGCATCTCTCCCGATGAAATCGACTTTTTTCTACAATACAACGTACACTTGACTCGAAATCAACCAAAGTTTTAGATACTTACGTCGAATTTCACTCTCCAAACTCTCCCGCACTCCAACGGGGTCGTCGTCGTGCCCAAGTCTTGCCCCCAAAAGGCGTAAAATTTCTCAATTCTAAGCGCCCTCGTCGCGTAATGACCCACGTGTCTAATTCCGTACTTTTCGCCCGCTTGGACTAGACTCGAATATACATGTAAAGCGAACTGGAAACGAAAACACAATAATACTCTCTTACAAAATTAATATCCATTAACTAACTTCATTCGGTATGTACATGACGTATCCCAGTTCGCCTGTGTGGGTGAGATTCATCGTTCGAATGCCATTGGCTAATCCAATGTCTAACATTTTGAAAGTGAAGAAAGGGAAATTTCTAGGATTCAAATCCGTATCGGTGAGTTCCGATAAAAGCCGCCTGCTGAAGGGCCCCACGATGCAAAGGGCTGTAAACATACTAGTAACATCGGACATTGTAACAGTCGGAGGTAGGTGCTTTTGAAGCCACACTTTGCATCTGGTTTGTTGAATTGTCGGGGCGATCATCATGTAACTGAAAAAAAAATAGACACTATTATCTCTTCTTGTACGATTTGTTTAACTCATCTTACTGGTTTTCTGATATTCTAGCCAAAGAGCAATCGTTTTCGTATCCTCCACGTCGATTCTGCATGCCGGTATGAATTATACTACTAACTGGCACATCGACGTCGTTCGAGCAGACGAATTGCAGAGCATCAACGATTTCGTTACCTTTAGACTGAAATTATCGTATGTACAACAAAACCCAATGAAAAAAAAATCAACTACTCCATACCCACAAATCTATTTTCGTGAAAGATGAATAATCGCTCAACCCCACGCTCTCCCTGCAAGCTCGGTACTCTCTCTCGACGAAATCGAACCACGGCGGTTTCCCGAAGGTGTTGGTGTAAGCCATCCTGTAGGGCGTCGACCAATCTTGAGCGTCGCGTTCTATTCACAATCGACAATTACTAAAAAAACTCTTAAAAAGCGCGAATCGTTACCTTCGCTCTCGTGACCCGGATCGAACCACGTGGGCCTCTCGTAGCCCATTACTTGACCAAACACGGCCCCTGCCTCGCGCAACTTCGGGTACACCGGAGACATCCGAAGGTTCCTCCCTGCAATCATCAACAAATCAACGTTTTGTTTATACAAATATATAGGTATTGTACCAGTTCGGAACTCGTTGAAAGGATAAATCAATCCGTAATGTAAACCGGGCACTTCTTTAACCCTGTCTCGCAAAAATTTCCGATTGTTGTGCAACCCCAAGAACCTGGACACTTCTAATTCGTACATATCGGACGCGGTGTCGCCGTTTACGATGATTTCGGCGGTGGTTTTGCCCACCCCGCCGGCGGCGGCGATTCCGATGGTTTTCATACCGGCAGCCACCAAGTAATTTCTAATCTAAAACGCAGCAGTAATCAAATGAGTTTTCTCTAATCTACTTAATTCCACGTACTTCCGGAGCCTCGCCTATGATCCACTTGCAATCGGGACTGAAAGCTTCGGGTCCGTTGCAAAGCCTATCGAGCACTACGTTACCTAAGCTCGGCACTCTATGAAGCAGCTGCTCTAGCAAAACGTGAAAGTGATCCCAGTCTTCCGGCAACTGGCGTTCTTTACTGTTAGCTATAATTTCGTGTTATTCAATGCGTAAAATATCGCCTAAGGTTTTTTTTACCTGGTATAGTTCCATCTTCGAAAGCCGGCTTCGCTTGTGGCTCGAAACCTCCGGCTAACAATCTACCTTTGTTTTCTCTTATGTAAATATAAGCGTCTTGATCTCTTAGCACTATAATGAAGTAAAATAAATGGTGAAATTGTAAGTAAGATCGTATTAGTTACCTGGTAACATTGGATCTAAAGCTGGTATTGGCATGGTATGTAAATAATGATGTTCTACAGCGTGAAGTGGAACTTTAACGTAAGGTTCGGACAATTGACCGACGCCTCTCGCCCAAAACCCGGCGCAATTTACGAAATATTCACAGTTTACGTTTCCCATAGTGGTTTCTACACCGGTTACTTTTAGATTAGTTTGATTTACCTTCTTTAAAGTACAATTCTCGTACACTTGTACACCTACGATAATAATTACAGGCGATGAATATATATTATAATATTGTTTGAACTTATACCCATTCTTTTGGCTTCGGATATGATGGACAAGCAGGTCTCGTAAGGGTCCCCGACTCCATCTCCGGGTATCCAAAGACCCCCTAACAGATCCGAAGTGTTCAACAAAGGCCACTTTTCTTTGCATTGATCGGGCGTTAGAATTGCACAATCGATTTGCCAAGAACTGTACGAAAATAATTTTATACAAAAACGTTTGTAAATAAATTTTATCTACATACATAGCCTGAGCTTTCATCCTTCGAAATGTCGTCATTCGATCTCTCGTTCTCGCCACATTCAAACTCCCGCATTGCTTCCAGCCTGTCGGTAGGCCTTTTTTGTCTAATTCTTGGTATAAGGCAACGCTAGATTTGGTTAGTTCGACTTGTGCTAGACTGGGTTTGAATACTCCGATTAATCCCGAGGAGTGCCAAGTGGTACCACCGCCGACTCTACAAACACAAGCGTATAAATAAAACTACTCGCTCATAAATTTGTCGTGTAATTCTACCTGCTTTGTTCGACTAAAATGGTATCTTTGCCCCAACCGAGTTTACCCAAGTGGTAGGCCACGGAGGCCCCCATGACGCCTCCTCCGCATATCACGACGCGAGTATCCTTCGGAAGATCCTGTTGTAGCGCGTTAATATTAACATTATCACTATAAAATCTGCAAGAACCAGACCTCCTCGCAGCGAAACTGTAGCACTTCGATAGCATTTTACATTATAAATTTATAATCGACTGAGACTTTAAATTAACGAGCGGTTCGAATTAATCTATTTGTACGGTTTCGTTTGCAGGAAATTGCACATTGTAGAGTTTCTTTAGGTTTATTTTGATCACCTTTAGACATTCACATTTTGACGTTCGTAGAAGAGGAAGTGAGGTTAGAGTAATCTTCTGGTTGTGTTGGTGGCCTGAACTTTTAAGGAATACAGTATACATTTTGGTGCGAATCAGAAATTGTTTTTTTTTAGTGTAGTATCTCGGGAAATTAAATGCATTAGAGGAATTAATAACTTGGTAAAAATAGAATTTTATTAAAAAGGAAAATTATACAAAAAAATTAAAAAATAAAAACAAGTTTTAACTACATTTATGTGTACTCTAGCTTGCTCTATATTCATTTCAATAAAAAATAAAAATCAAATTAATGTTAATAGATGTTTTTTGTGTCCGCTTTCTATATAATATAATACTTATTATAAAGAATATAAATACAACTAGATATGCATAGCAGTTTTAATCTTACATGTAATTACAAATATCGGAATTACTCGACTAGGACCTAGTCAGTTTTGCTCTTATTTACAAAAAAAACGATAAGTTTAGTGTACATATTTGGTAACTTTCATATACTGAACATTGTATATGAGCACAAGAATTAATTGGTATAGGCTTGTACACTGAAAAACTGGCAGAAAGAGTAGAGTAGAAACGAAGAAATCATGTCAAGTAATGCAAATTTGGTACTCATTTCAGAATTTATTAATCATTTTGGGGGATTCACAACACTTTATATAATAAGGAAATGTCTACTCTTGAAGCAGAAACTGTTAATTTTACTTCATTATAAAAAAGGGAAGAGAAAATATGAAAGGAAAATGAATAAGGTATTTTATCTAGGATAATAATTTTAAGCACCTGATGTATATTTTTCAAAGTATAAAGCTACGTAGGAAACTCAAATTGCATTACGTATTTTCCAAAAGAGCATTACTGACATTAAAGATAGCTAGAGAAGGTGCAGTCCAAATTTTGAAGCGTTTTGAACTGTACCTAAGTAAATTAATTTGTTTCAATATAGTAAAGAAGGATTCTCCGACATAAATTTGATATTTTAAACAGACAAAAAAATGGAAAACTTTGCCAATACTCTAAACAAAAATTGTCAAATATAATCTAAAAAATCACATATGTAGGTAAAAACCGATGGCAATAATAAAATAATACATACAGCGAAAAATGTACAAAGTACGATTAAACAATATAATTACAACAAGCACATTTTTACCAACGAAAAACGTACCTATAACAAAATACTTGTCAACCAAAAAGTTGATCGAATTCTCTCTTTTATCTAGAATTTTAAATAAAAAAAAATCTTGTACCATTCACAGTTTGATATTCGCGTACAATCTTTAAAGCTGCTAGAATGAAATATCACACTGTAAACAGGGCGGAATATCTTGAAGAAAATCACAAAATGGTTTCAAAACGAGAACTGCCGAAAAATTCCAATCAAACCCACACCCAATCAATTCCTGAAATCATCCGATAAATAAATAAAATTGCAACAACAACATTTAATGCATAAAAATAAAATCATTCACATAATATGAGGTACGAGGCGCAAACGTTTCGATTTACTTAAACGATAAAATTTATTGAGCATCATATCGGGCAATGATCCGTTTCCACTAATCGAACTCTCCCGGCAGTTCCCCTTGTAAAAATATAAATACTCTTTATTACTATTTATAAGTACACTGTAAAAAGGCCACAGGTTGTTCAAAAAGGCATAAATGGCGATAATGACATGAGGTAAAATATTCTCTACGTAACAGACGAATGTTTCGAAAACATTGAGATCTTTTTTCGGAAAATACGAATAAGTTTCTGAAGATATTTGTGCGATTTGTAATAAGTACCACGAAGAATAAGATAAGAGGAATTTCGATTGAAAAAAAGTGATTAATCTGCAAATATAAGAGTAAATTGCGCACATCACGTCTCCAGCTATTACCATCGAATAGTAAGCGACATTATCTTCAGAACCATCCTTATACTTTCTCGAACGCGAACAGTACCATAAATTAAGGAATGTGCTAGTGTGATGTAACGATACGAAGAACAAAAAAAAACCGAACAGAAAATAAAATAACCATTAAATCGCAGGAAGTTGAATCGCTTTACTTGGCCGTTTTCGGTAGATGGCGCTTCATGTGCAACGCCAAGTGATCGGATCTGGCGAAGGACCGCTCGCAAACGCCGCATTTGAACGGCTTGGCTCCGGTGTGTTTCCGGTAATGGCGGGTCAGTTCGTCGGAACGCGCGAATCGCCATTCGCATTCCGGCCACTGGCACTGGTATGGCTTTTCACCTGCGGACAAACAGCCAAATGATAATTTTATTACATACGCAACGCCTACTTAAACTCGCTATGAAGAGGGGTTTGACAAACTCTCGCTCCTTTACTATCTGCATGAGTGGAGAGGTGTAGTAGAAAAGGAACGAGAATTCCGGCGACCATCATAGAATGGATAAGAGAACGAGAATTAAGATGCGAATGATTGAAAATATTGAAATACATTCTTCATAAATGATTGATTCCTGACCGAATTCGAAATGAATGTAGTGAATTTGTTGAATACTGTCATTAATGTCAACGTCAATGTCAACTCGATGAAATCTCTGTAGAAATAACGTGTTTTGTTTATTTTTCCAAGTTTTTCCTGTGCTTTTCCCGAAGAAAACATAACCTTTGATTAATGATATGTAAAAATAATGAAGAACCTAGAGGATTAATGTTCTTACGCCACTGTGTTGATTTGTATTGAAACTAGGGACATTTCTTGAAAATAATAACAACTGTGTACTTTGGGTTGCATAAATTTATAGATAACGTGGGAATCAATAATTTACGAAGACTGTGTAGAATAAATTTTCTCACCTGTATGTATTCTTTGATGTGCTTTGAGGTGTGAGCTTTTTGTATATACTTTCGTACAACCTAAAAATAAAAATTAAACTATTAATGTTAAACGCCGGTTGCTTCTCGAGTTGTATTAAACATTCATAAATAATATTTCTGCATCTCCTCATTTGTGACTGCAATCATTAATTAACATTTCCCAAGCAATACCGAGGCTTAATTAGCATATTTATTCAGATTTATCCAAATTAAATGTCAATTATTGAATATAAACATCAATACATGAATATAAAAGCAACAGCAAACGTAATTAATCGAGATTGCTATTAGAGTATGCGTTATTTATACTCCAACAAATGCTTGCTTTTGTAAATAATAAATTCGTGTTGTCTACATGGTGTACTCTTGCTTTTCTAAAGATCATGCACGATCAGATATTAATTATAATCTCTTATATGGATTGTTCAATTAAATAAACATATAATGCACTTATTTACACTAATATTTGTGTTATAGAAAAGCTAATATAAACTACACGTGTATTAGTTTTTAATTAAATTATGATTAAATAATGAGTAATATTGATTCTTCCTGTATAGGAAAAAATTCTCTGTACAATTCTCTGTTAGCGTTAATCGTACGTCCATAAACTAAGCGCAAGAGATTATTAGAATCGCCAACCCACCGGCCTCTCACAACAATAAAACATTGGAAGGTGCAATTTGTAAAAGAAACAAATTAAATGCAAATGCGTCATTTGTATGCAGAAGAATTCAAAACACATATTTTACTGTAACTGAACCCATATTTAACGAAATACGGTGTATCCTAGCATGACCCTCGAGAGCTCGCATTCCGATCCTTTCTCCATCGAAAACGAACCGTTATAACAAACCACAACAACAGATCCTTTCGCCTGTTTTACAGGACATTTCAAAGATCCTCCTACCGTTTAAAGGACTCACCTATAAAATCACAATGGTGTATCCTTCGTTTCTCCAACTCCGGATTGTTCCTCCTATTGTACTTGACGCCGCTAATCGGCGACGCCGCGACGGCGGGCGGCTGCTTCTGCGGATAGGGGGGCGGCGGCGTCCTGCGCGGCAACGCCCCCCCCGGCGAGCCGGGCTCCGAGCTGGGGGGCGTCAACGGCGACACGTACATGAGCCGCGAGGGCATCGGGTAGAGCGCGTTGCCCGGCGCCGGCCCCGGCCCCGCCGCCGTCGGTACGTTGTTGTATTTGTATTGGTTGTTGTTGTTGTTGTTGTTGTTGTGGGTGTGATGCATCGCCTGCTGCGGGTGGTAGTGGGGCGGGTGGTGCTGGGGGCTGGCCTGCTGCTGGGGTTGCGTGTAAGGGCTCGTCGGGGTGCCCAGGAGGTGTAACGTCGGACAGGGTTGTTGCAGGACCTGCTGATATTATTAAAAATTCCTCAATATTTCACTATAAAGTTAACCACTATACTTCAAATTTCAAGTATCTATACTCTTCCTAATACCAATTTATAATGGACTCCTAAAAGTCACTAATTTGAACGAGCAGCGTATGTGTTTGTTGAAGATGCACTGTGCTTCATTTCAGATCGCAAAATAGGTTATACAGGGTGTCTCGTAAGTTGATACTTTCTAATTCTACAATTTCTAATTATTAAAGAGTTAGTTAATACGGCCCTGTTCATTAAAAGTTAAAGGAACTGCTCAAAATTGTCGCTATTTTGATTGGAAACGCTTTGGATACACTCTCCGTAAATAATCAGTAAAATCATCATCATCATTGGTTTTGTGTCAACCAATTCATTATTTCTATAAAGATGAGCCATTTTCAATTCAGCAATCGAAAAATTCATTTTTTGTCATTAATTAATGATTATTTTTTGACACTTGTATGGTAAAATGGCAGGTATGTATTGGAAAATATTCGAAATTTAAAGAAATTTTAAAAATTTCCATCTTTTTTATTTTCCAGAATAATAAAAAAATTACTTAAAAAAGTTGCTTAGAATTAAAAGATCTATACGCAGTTAAAAAAAATTATCAACTTATGAGACACCCTGTATAGGCAATAGGTGCGATAAAGAAAACTTCCGTTAGACACTTACAGAAAAAGAGTGACATTTGCGTCAATGAAACTATTCACTCTGTCAACTGTCATTTTATTAATCTTTCTTTGTTCAACTCATAGAAACGACCACGTTGCGGACTGAATTGAAGCAATCGTTAGATTGCATGCTGGAACTGACCTTTTCGGTTTTGATTTCTAAAGGTGAGAGTAGCGGACTGGGAGCCGTCGCTCCGCAGGAAACGGTCAAATCATCGACGGCCTCTAACTTGACATGTCCGGGGCTAACGCCCAGCATATTCGCGTTTTCGGGATCGATGTTTTGTATGCTGCTGGCGATGTCCTCCCAAAGCGCCGGGGGCCGCAGGAAAGCGTCATCTTCTGGACCCGGTAACGACCTAAAAAAGTCAACGTACCCGTTACTATAACGCTCATCTACTCGTTCCGAGCTTGTAAAGGGTGTTTCAATAAGACCGGAAGATTTGAATTGCCTGTCATGTTTGACAGTCATAATGACACGTGATTATAACATGACAGATCGAAAGTTGGCAGTTGGGAGTTAGTAAATATGGATCATTGAATCTGGATATGGATCTGGATATGGAACATAATCGCGTCTTAATTGTTAAATATTACTCCCGGTCGGGTCATTTCCCGGTTTGGTGACCAGAATTGGCCGCCACGTTTTTGTGATTTAGCACCTTTGGACTTCTGGCTGTGGGGTTACTTGTAGTCACAGGTTTATGCCAACATACCCGCGATCACCAAAGCGTTAAAAGCCGAAATTAGACGCAGTATTAATAAAATGCCGCCACATGTATACAATAATGCTATTGAAAATTTTATCAAAAGGGTAGGCTTGTGCAAGCAAAGCCGTAGCGGCCATTTACGAGATATTGATTCATATATAATTCCTAAATGTACACATGATAAATTTATAAATATTTCCATATTTTGCTACAGGTAACATTGTTTTATTGAACCTTAAAATCTTGCGCTCTTATTTGAAACACCCTTTATATGGAATAAAATTGTTCAAGGTATAGAAGAAATCGGTTACCTCATGGAGACGTAGCTCATGGCTTGATGCCTGTTATTGTGAGGGGTGGTGGCGGTATTGGCGGTGGTGTTGTTGTTGTGGTGGGCGGTTTCGACGAAGAAGTCATCGATATGCGGGACGGAATCTCGACGGGACGGTTTTTCTAATTCTTCTTCCAGCGGTCGCTCCCAGTCCTGCTTGCACAGGAACGTGTCCAGGTCGCTGGTCTGCAAGGAAAAAAAAATAATAGTTAACACTTTGAGTAAATAAAAATGGTACAAATTTGTTGAAAAAAAATTAAAAAGTAATTGCATCGGCCGGGAATCGAACCCGGGCCGCCCGCGTGGCAGGCGAGCATTCTACCACTGAACCACCGATGCTTATGAAAATTGTTCTCTTTAACCGGTATTTAATGTAACTGAAACGCGAATATTTATAGAAATAATTATTATGTAAATTAAAAAGTAAACGGTGTCAGCTAACATAAATAAATTATTGTAATATATCGTAAAAAAAAATCAACAAAAAATAAGTGAGTATAAAGTTAAACTACGATTATTATGGTACCATTACTATTTCATTTTAATTTAATTTTTTATTGAAAAAAAATAAAAAGTAAATTGCATCGGCCGGGAATCGAACCCGGGCCGCCCGCGTGGCAGGCGAGCATTCTACCACTGAACCACCGATGCTTACATGAAGCAACTTTCAAAACTAGCAACATCGGGTATCATTATTTATCGTTATCAATGATAACGTTAATAAACGCATTTAGAAAACAACTCGCATCAGCCGAAATAGCTCAGTTGGGAGAGCGTTAGACTGAAGATCTAAAGGTCCCTGGTTCGATCCCTGGTTTCGGCAATTACTTTTTTTCTTTTACTACGAAATTTTATTACTTTTTATTCTAAATAAAGAAGGTTGTTTTGCACGTTTGTCATATCTTATTTTTTATTCAACCCATTAAAATTATCTAGATATCATTGAATTTTAGAATTTGACACCTGTGACATACACCTAGCATTTACAGTAAATAGAGAAGAAAACGTTTGGAAAATGGTCAATTGGAATACATCAGTCGTGGGTTTTCTAACGGTATTCGTTACTTGTTACATAATTTCCCTATCTACCTACACCTACATAAGCTCCCTCTCGAACGCCGACAAAACCGAGCAACAGGGCAACAGATTGAAACGGGACGCCCCATTGAAATACACCACCGATTTGTGGCAGAAAAACATAACGTTGAACAAATGCTGCGGCCCCAATCAAATAATAAACTTCCAAAACAAATGCGAGGGCCACGATTACAAGACGTTCAATCAGAACGAGTTCGTGGAGAAGCTCGAATTTTTCGTCGTCGACGAGAACTTGAAGCACACCTACATCAACCCGAGTCGAGTGAATTTCGCATACAATTACTACGAACCCACTTTGATAGACAATTCCATCAGTAAGTCCCATCAATGCTGCATCATATATACGAAATAATTTTAAAACTAATGCATTTCGCAGCAGTAAATTGGGTCCTGAACGATGAGCAAGTCAAAACGAACTTCCTGTTCCTCCAAAAAGACGCGCGTCTGATCGAATTGGACGACAGCAAACAGCGCATCGAGAAAACCTTCTCTACCAGCTCCTACTGCTTGGACGAAAACAACTTCTACGGAGGGTATACAACCAAATCGCTTCTAAAACACCCCATCATCGCTCGGTGAATTTCCAGCGGCCTGATCGCCTACGTGAACCCCTGCATCGAGAACACCTGCTTCAAGAAGTGCTGCCCCAAGAAGTATTACTACAACACCATGCAACAGGAGTGCGTCTTCGACAAGCGCTTCAACTACGAGCCCGAGTTCTACTTCACCACCACCAAAACCCTGCGGGACATCGCCTACTACCTCCTCCACGGCACCCCCAACTGCTCCTTCATCGAGTCCTTCAGGACCATTCACCAGGAGCCCAACGACACCAAGGACTCGCCCGATCCCATCTACATCCAAGAAGACGGCTACCTGCTCATGATCGATTCCGCACGGCAAAACTATTATTACTACGACAACAAAAGGTTTACATTAAAAACTACATTAAACTTACATTGAGCATGTTTAATTTTTAGCTACTGCATCGACTTGTTTTCCAACGGCGTTTCGCCGGCGTACTTGAATGGGTTTTATTGCCAGAAAGAGGCGAGTTTCACGCGACCGGCCGACGTGGTGGAGGTGAAGAAGAATCCCGGTAACGTGATTTTGAGCGATCACAAGCTGGCTTTGTACGGGAAGCGGTTCGGGAGAGAGAAGAAACTGAAGCAGTTTAGCGTGGTGGAGGAGCCGACGACGGAGGTGGCGGCGCGCAACGAAACCGCCGGGAATAAGGATTGGAAGGTGGTGAATAAAATGGAGACGAAGGAATTGCACCGGAGCGGCGGAGATGGTGCCCGATTGGAGCCGGTTTGGCTGGTCGCTGCAGCGTTGTTTGCGGTGTTGTAGATGGTTTTTGGAATGTTTTTCGATGTTTGGTTTTTTGTCTGGATAATTTGGAAACTTCGGCTGCAGGAATTTGACTAACAACGCGAAACTTAATGGAAATGTGTGTGATAGGGGTTTTACTGATAACGAAACGTGGGGTTATATAGATGTGTATAGAAAATTGTCTGCTTTTGGATAACAAGCTTTACTTTTTAAAACAAATTACGTTTTGATTTAGGTATTTGAAAAAGGAATATAAAATATTTTCAACAATTTTAGATTGATATAACGAATATTTTAAAAAGTAAAGAATAATTGATTATTTTATTAATATACATTTATTTTTAACTGTATATTTATTAACCCAAAGAAAGTAATATAGCAATTTAAAAGAATAAAAAGAAATTTATCAATTTCTCATTAAACTTGACAAAACGGGGATATCATATCGTAAAAGTTGGTAATAACCTTATACCAACATTATACAGACGAATTATTTAAAAAAACAGAAGAAAATTGACAAATTCAATCAAAATCTATACCAAAATCGAATCGAGCCTAATTTAATATCGCACAATCTGTCAAACACAAACATGTTTTTACAAATACTATGTCAATCTCCCATCAATATGCCCACAACGAATTTTTACGCAGTTTTACTACATTTTCCTGTATAATTTTATCCATAATTTCCTTCGTACATTGTAGGTACCAACTTTACCCAGAGAAAAATTACCCAAACAGTAGCAATAACGAGAGCATATACTCCCTGCAGCCGACGACGATGGAGCAGATTAACGATTTCGGTGACTTGGGGATCACTATTCACAAATGCTGCGAGCCGGACGTAATTTTAGACTATCAATTGAGCTGTAGAAATCACAAAGCCATCGATTTCGAGCCGAAGCCGTTTTTGGAAAAAATGGAACACTATTTCGTGTTGGAGCAACTCGCCTTTTCCAAAATATACCTATCCAGAATCACGATAAATTTCAATTATTTGCAGAACATTTGGAATCCAACGGACGGCTTTGGTAAGATTTACAGAATTCACGCTAACAGGTTAAAGAGAGAATAGATTTTAGTGTATCATTGGGACTCATCGAAACCCAGATCAGATGCTAAATATGCTTTCTCCGCCGATGACGGATCATTGCTCCAAATGGATCAAAAACACAGCAAAATCATCAACAAATTCCCGACCAACACCTATTGCGTCGATTACGACGGCATTTTCCACGAGTGCGTAATTAATTATACAAATCGAAAACACAATTGAAATGCGAAAAAATTACAGTACAATTATGGTGTACGTGAACCCCTGCAGGGAGCGAGTGTGCATAAGGAAATGCTGCCCGGAGGATCACTACTACAGCATCACCTACAACACCTGCCATTTGTCCTACACTTTGGAGCCGATGAGAGTTAATTTCTATTTTCTCACGACGCCGTCCCTTAGGGACGTTTCCTACCACACGAATTTCGGATATCCGAATTGCTGGAACGAAGGGGACTGCACCAGGATCAACAACAGCTCCACCTCCTCGGTCTACATCCAAGAGGACGGGAATTTATTAGTCGATAAATCGATCAAATACCTTTATTACAACACGAATTAGTAAGTGTTTTTTTGCTGTATATAACAATTTCTTTTTCTAGTGTAATCGAGACATTTTCATTCGTTCTAGTTATTGTCTGGATATATTCTCGGACGATAAAAATATTTCGTACTTGAATGGATTTTACGATGAAAAATCGGCAGCGGCCATTTTGATCGGTAAGATAGATTTGTATGCGAATATGATCGAGCCCAGTACACAGTCCACACAAGTTTCCATGGAGTTCGGAGCTACAGAGCAGCTTTTAGAGCTGAATAATCGTCAAATTCGAATTATTAGTAGTGTTGTAAACGTCTTTTTATCGCTCACCTTTGCACTAGTTCTCTTCTAAACGAGGAAATATATAATTTTGGGATATAGAAATCATTCTGTTATTTTATATCCAATGTAATGAATCACCCCATTAGATTAACTAAAGTAAGTATGGTTTTTGTAAGTAAGTATAATGTTTATATCCTTACGGGGTATGCAATAGCAAGATTTCTCTTAGATATAAACATCTACTAGTAGACTATAATAGTAAATATCGGCGCGGCATCCATTGATCGGTTGCAATTGCAATAGTTGCAATTAGGTCAAGAATAGCAGTGCCCCGATACCGGAATTCTAAAGATATAGAATGCAGATAGTTCTACTTGTATTTAAAAACATAAAATTTACTAGTATCATAGTGGAATTTTGGTAGATTACACGAGTTATTGATGAAATCAAATATTCCATCGACAATGGTCGAAAATTCCCGCAGCAATAAAGAGCCCACAAAACTGTTGTTAACAGTTGTATAACGCTCGTTTGAAATTTTAAAGGCGGCCCGAAGACCGAAAGGAACGAAAATAATAGGCGATTACATATCCCCGGACACGTTCGTAGTTAACAGAAGTTCGTCGGGACGTGACTGAATGTTTTTCCTTCCTAATGCTCTTTGTGACTCCGTACGCGAATGTCTTCGAGCCATCGGTTTATTGCCCACCGACCGGTATGTCTTCGTCTATACCAGATAAGACCGTATAAGTTTCTTCTTTATTTTTTTCGCCTTAATCGAAACGCTGCGACCGGGACAAAAAATCAGTTCTCCGTGAGAAACTGACGCCCGGCGATCTTTTACCGCCCTAATAGGGCCTTCAAACTTAGATTCCCTATCGATAAATCGTCAAATTTCACAATTTTTTACAATATTTCTAATGATATGAGTATCTAGCAAGTAAAGCTGTAAAGGAACATAAGAGAAAGCATATATGGTAAGGATATTTAAGAATCATAGTAAAAATGCTGCAAAGAAAGAGCAATTATACTGTAAGGGCTCTATATGGATATGGTAAGGATGCTGAAAGGATGCTATAAGGATACTGTAATAAAACAGAAAAGATATGGTAAGGATATTTAAGAATTATAGTCAAAATAGAACAGTAAAGAAGACAGTAAAGAAAAAATAAGTAGGAAATTTCGACAGGAAAGTAATTTCCATATCCGTAAAAATCAATATTAGAGAATCCTTTAATGGAAAAGACGCGTGTAGATATACAGGGTGTTAATTAATAAGTGCGATAAACTTCAGGGGGTGATTCTGCATGAAAAAATAATGATATTTTGCTATATAAACATATGTTTGGAAATGCTTCGTTTTTGAGATACGGGGTGATAAAGTTATTTCTCTGAAACCAGACGAGATATTCAAATGAAATTTGGTGGGCTTGGAGAGGTAACTATTACGCATTTTTTGACATAAAATTAAAAATTTTATCTTCATCATTGGCGCGCATACGGGTAATATTAAAAAATTTTTAAAGAAAAAAATAATATTGGTACGCCACTGAAGCATTTTTATTGAAAATTCAATTATGAATGAATTCCTCGTTCAATTTGTGACAAAAAACCTCTCTTGAATTTTTTTCGTACGAGCTGCTGTTTTCGAGTAAAAAAATAAAACATCTCGACGTGTATTTTTCATTTCCTCAATAGTAGCGAAGAAACTTTAACACCCCGTATCCCAAAAACTAAGCATTTGCTTACATACATTTATATAGCAAAATATCATTATTATATCATGCAGAATCACCCCCCGAAGTTTGTCGCACTTATTAATTAACACCCCGCATCTATACACACAACAAACATCGGAAAGCTCGGTTGAAATTAAAAACGAAATAAAACCGTCGATGGCGACGAGCGCGCGGTGCAGCCCTTCGGAAGCGCTAATTTTCTGGGCACACCGAATTCGTCGAAGCTATTTTACATGACCAACCTGTTAGCCGGCGACGCCCTTAAAGCAAACACCACCGTCGTCCTATGCACACAAGGGGTGTGGTTCCTATTTTAGTAGCCGAGGCTCCGATTCCTGCGACACTTTGCACCGGAGCTTTAATGAAATTTCGAATTGAACCTGTTTGTCTATTTCGTTAACGTTTTATACAAAGGGATGCGCGCAATGGAAGCCCAACGACTTACATGATAAAGCAGCGATTTCGATTTTCGATGCGGTACTAAAAGAATTTAGAACAGTGAATTTATTTATTGGCTATTACTGTCTCTCGGGCTGTTTGGATTCTTTTAAATTTCTTTTAAGCGGCGTAGTTAAATTTGATTTGTTATGAGAACTTGACCCGCGTTGCGTGTACGACGGCGATTAATAAGAGGAAAATATTAAGAGGCGATGCAAATATCGTTAAAAACGTTGATAAAAATCGTAAAAGTCAATCTACGATATTTATGTCAAAATAATTTCCCGCAATGTTGAATGTGTATCGAAGGTTTTAAGTATTTCGCCTAATTAAAAAAAATTAATCCGAGAATATTCATGTATAGGCATAAAATTTACAATTTAATTAGCATATTCGGTAAGATTGCTATAAATAGACGTTAAAAACAAGAGCCCGACTTTATTAGGTACTCTATAAAGTACTATATTAATAACGTTAACGAGCAATAAACAGAAATTTTCTAATTTTAACGAAACGAACGGTTCCGTGGGAATTTCGTAAAAATATGTCCTTATTCGCTTAAAAATCGACTTTAAATTCATCACCTTCATTCATTTATCATTATTATCACCAGAAATCCAATTGAAACCATTTTTTATATTAATAAATTACTCCATTTGTGCATTATTTTTATCTCGAATCGTTTCGTGTAAAAAAAAACTAACATAATTGATAGTTTCGAACTCGATTATAAAACGAAATATACAGAGTATCCCATACAAAGTAGCAATATTAATAAAGAAGATAAAACTGGGGAAAAGATGATTTCTTTTATGAATAAGTTTTAAATGGTTTTGGGTTGAATACATGAAAAAATACAGGAATTATGGATCTTTTAAGGCAGCCAAAGCACGCCCTCAAATTCATAATTCGTGGGGTAATATAGAACTATTTTTGGTTAAATTTTTCCACAATAGATGGGATGAGATTAGTTTAACTCACTAAGTTGATGTACCGTGTTTGATTACACTTGACATAAAATCAAACATACAAGAAAGTAAAATAAGAAATCCTTTTCAGAATATTTTAAATTCAATTCTTTTTCTTGCAATTTGAAAAGATAAAAGTAGGGTTTTAAAAATACTCATTAAAGTGCTCTAAAAGTATTCCGGTGCACTGGAAATACCTTATTTCATATTACCTACCCTTAAAAAAGTGCAAATTATCCAAAAATCTCTGAAAAACGGAAACTACTGGCAACGCTGTCGTTTGTCAAACTTACAAAATTGTTCTGTGATTTGACATTTATGTCAGGCGACACCATAATTTTACAGGAATCTATCGTAATCATTTGCTAAAATACTTTAATTAGTTTTTTTCAATTTAATACAGCCTGTGGATCAATATAAACTAGAAGACATCGTTCTGTAATAAGTATTCTTCATCCTACTATAATTATTCACACATCCGTTCGAGGAAACTCGAGTCTTACTAGAATTACATTTTGCAAATTAAATAACATTGCAAATAAATGGAAGTTCTTGATTGCAATTTTCTTAAATATATAATGAAGTAGGAGAGATTAAAAATAGGAGATTTCATTGCTTGGAGTCTCTATATTAGATATAAGAAAGATTCAAATCAATCGATGAAGCCAAATTTGAATCTTACTGGAATTACTGAACCAATGTTTTCCCATTTAAAAATACCCTAAAGTGGCGCCCTTAATAAACAAAATTTGGAATCCATGCATTGCAGTTAACTTCTAATGGCTCCTCAAAGAAGTCCAATTAGATTTGTTCCACAAAGTTAGACACACTGTATATGTAGAAATGATACAAAAGTATTGGATTCGTTTACATTTTTTTTAATGACTTCAAAATCTTAATAAAATGTAGAAATTTGCTTGATTACTCGTCTGATCGGAATAAACTATGAACTAAGTATTAGTGTGAAAATGAGGGTAGATTTGAATATTACAAACGCCAATTAAGTATCTACCAATGTAATCAATAAATGTTACAATACTTTGTTAATCTTGTAAATTCCATAAAATGCTTTAAGAGATGTTCTTATCAATAAAACTTTTGCATAAAAAATATACTCGCAGGAGAAGCGGGTTCTTGTGGGGAACACCCTGTAGAGTAAACCGCGCGATGAATGGCGGTTATGAATGAACGGAGAGTCTCCTACTCGACACGCGGAGATATCGGCAGATGAAAACAGGAAATAAAAGCGACGAATGGAATCTCGTCGGACGGGTCGGTTTTCTGTAATGCGATGTCCACTCTATAGCGTCCACTCGACCAGATATCGACATCTCCAGTCGGTATTTTTCATCGAACACGTGGATGGATAACAGTAGTTTAGGCGGAAAAAAATCGCGAAACCGCTCTTAAACGTATAGCAAAAACCGGCGTTAGTTTTTGAGAAATCGCTTTCGATAAACGAGCGGTAGATAAATTTAATTTTATTGGACCGGCTGGTTTTATTTTTAGATCGCTCGTTATGAAATATATCATCGCATTCGGACGTATAGGTAACGCGTAAATCCATTCTCTAAAGTCTCTTTTTACGGCATCCTCGCGTGAAAGTTTTTAGTTGATTAGTTCGAGCCGTAAAAGTCGCCGGGAAATTTATTAAACTGGAATGAATATTAAAATTTCGAATTTTAGGTAGCAAAAAACGACGGTCTCTTATAACGTTTTAATATATTCGATGTAATAATGTAGCGATAAAACCATCAAAATATGTTAGATTATCCATTGTGTGGAGACTAAAACATTCAATAACTCAATTTCTTCGAATTGGCTATAAACCCGAATTCTGTGTCACGGTAATTTAAGGATATAATATTATAAAAAATTTGCGAAATTTATGGCTGTTCATCTGCCTGCGCTAGCCGGAAAGGAGTAACACTTTACTATACAACTATGGATATTATAGGCATTAACGATTTCATAAAAAAACTGCACAAGAAAACAATTAATAATTTTATGTCAAAACTAAATTTACAACGTTGTTATAGGCGAATACTTTCCATTTGTTTATGAGAGAACATCGTAATACACAAGAAAAATTACGTTTAATTTACATGAATGAGGACAAACTGTGTGTGTTTGAAAAATATTTTTAATAATAGATATACGCAAATCGAAAACTAACTAAGAGAAATTATTTACAAATTAATAAGACAATTATAAAGGGAAGATTTTTTTTATTCTCATCTACAGATCGACTGGAATAACTAAAGACGTAACCTGCGCATCTTTCAAAATGAATCTATATACAACTTTCCTGTATGTTTCATACAAATCAATAACAGTAGTTGATGATAGAATTTCAAATAATTTTAACAACCCAATGAACCTTAGGTATATAAAAATCTGATTAACATAAGATCCAATTAAACAGATAAATAGCATTTGAAATGAAAGCGTCTCAAGGACAACTTTTTTTCCAGCCATAAACGTTGTCGATCCAGATTTCTTTTTTTTTGGTGTAATAACCTTGTCGAGAATATTAATAATAGAAATCGGATTTGATGATATCGAACAGTTAATGGATTACCCAGTGCTTGTTGTCAACTTTACTTTCGAGATAAACATTCTTTTTTGTGTTGGTGTAATAGTTGAAACGGTTTTCGCAAGTCATTAATTAATATTCGTAAAAATTGTACGGTTTGATTGGTTAAAAAAAGGCGATATAATCGATTGTTGCAATTCATGTTCCTGCTAATTAGCTGTAGTTTGTTATCCTTAGGCGAAAAGTTTGAGATATTTTCCGTAAATAATCCCTCTATTAACAAGGCTAAATTAACAAAGTAATAGCTGACGCAAGCAAAACTAAATTTTACGTAACTAACCTATTAATTAGAAGAAGTACGTGATCAATACGAAATGTTAATAATTTTATTACTATGTGTATACTTGTAGAGGATTTTAAGTATTAATAAAATAGCTCATTTGGTTTCATAAAAATAAATAACCTATACATTTAATTAATGCTAAACTTTTACCTAATCCTTCATTCCTCGAGAACGGAACCGATATATTTTATAGATCCACTCAATTTTGAAATGGTAGCAATTTCCTGTCTTGCAGAAATGATTTCACGACAATTCATTAATTAGAAACGTTTAAGGTTCATTGCTAAATATTTACACCGATTTCTCCTCTATAAGACAGCTAGTATTATTAATAATTTTTATTAGAAATTTAATTAATCTATTAAATATACCTAGATATTTAATTAGGCAGGTATTGAGGATTATTTATCACTTTATAAAAATTTCATGAAATCGAGATATTAATAATTTTGGTGGATGTATTGCGAAAAATGGCGAGAGCGCTGGTCAATGAATTCAATGAATTTCAATTCTATACCAAAATATAATTTAATCATCTATGCTATATGTTATCAAGTTTCAATAAACTCAAATAATTTACAAAGTATTTCCGCACATGTTAAATCTAGATAACCAAAAAAAAACCTCTTGATCTATTAATTCGCAACACAGCAACAATTATATTAATTTATTACACGTCTATCACCGGAGTCTAATTTCAATATTTTGAATTGTAAATATGATTCGTTGGCGTTGCACCGAAAATATTGCAGCGCTTAGATTTTCGTGGGTTGACAAATTACGTAGGATTATTTGTCATTACACTCATATCAACCGGAAATTATTTTATATCACATCACAAAATACATTAATAATTAATTTGTGATGCCTTCTAATAAGAGACATTAACAATGTTTGTGCTACGAGTGATATGTTGTTTGGAAGTATGCTTAGTATAATTATTATTTTATTACTTAATTATAGCCCAAAAACTAATTAATTATATAAAGTAGAAAATTAGATTGGATTGAATTAGCAAAGCAAATATATGTTTGAATGGAACCCTTGAAAATATGGCAAGATTTACAACTTAATTAAATGTATCGTAGTCAATTTTGGCAAATAGATCTGTATTGATAAATGTTTAATTAGATAGCTATCTAAATGTTTTAATATAGAAAGAGGGAATGTATCTATCTATATTGGTTTTATGTCAGGGTCCTTAAAATAAAGGACGCATTTAACTAATATTTCAAATAATTCACTATGACAAATTCTCTTATAAAAAAATTATAAAACTAAAGAAATATTAGGTATAAATAAAATCAAAAATGACAAAAATAACAATGATAATTCGTTGATCACGAAAGATTCTATAATTACTACTGTTACTTTGTATATTTATGTGTATATAAAATGGTTTTGAATTATCAGATGTATTATGTAGATATTATCTATTTATTATTCACTTATTAGAAGACTATAAAAAATTCTAATTTCCTTAAATCGTTAAAATATACGCCAATGAGAAGCGTCAATAAACGCACGAACAAACTTTACGATTCAATATTTATAAGATTTAAATAAATAAATTTAATTTTTGTTAGATTAAAATCGTTTTGAAATATCCTTGGGGTTAATGAAAATGATATAGCTAAAACAATACATCAATCATTTTCTATACATTATTGACGTAAATTTTTCTATCATATTTCTGTGCTCTAAATTGAATTACATTTTCAATATACAATATACGGGTAAACTGTTTTGCATATATCTAGTGGTATTTTTAGTAAATTTCGAATATAATGAATAAACTTATAGATACATTTATGTTTCGTTGAATAACTTTATAATACGGAATATTAAACAAAGTCTGATCTATCGTCGTTTATTTGAAATTTAAATTTGTTTATAATAGATAAAATTGAATTTTAATATCGCTCGTTTAATGTAAAAGAGACAAAACCATCATGAATTTCAAATTCGAATATTTGAGGAATTAGGCCAATAAAATCAATCGATAGATACACCTACGCATCCAAAAAATATTATTTTTATTGCCCAATTAAGTCCTAATGCCACACATTTGTGCATACACATGATTCGGAAAAAATTGCAAAAGCCAAATTTCATTAATTGCCTATAAAAACCACAATAAACTTGTATAGATGTTTTCGTAGATAGCATTTGATTTGTGGCATAAAATTCCCCTTTAATCGTGTATAAATAATTTAACAGGTGTATAGAATTAATGGGAATAAACTAAAGTTTACGATTTAATTCAACTAAATAATTTAATTTTGTATTTTACACGTTGGTATATAATTGCACTGTAATTTACGAGAAACTATTACATGTTTTTTCATTCGGTTGATATTTTTATTAGGTATCTATAGAAAATTAGAATATGGAGTGTAGGTTTTTGTAGAGAAAAATAGACTCACCAGAAACATACTAGGTTCCAGCACCATGTAAAAATCAGTCATCAATCAGGCTATCGATGCACCAAAAAAACCATCACAAAACCATCACAAACGTTTCAAAAAAATACAAATAAAAAATTCCTCAAATCCTACAAACGAGAATCTCGCAAGAATATACCCGCGCACGTCACCTCAAACTAAACGGCCATATCGACCGGAAAACTCCTCCTCGTTCACGGGGAAAAATCATTCCACACTTTCACGGGTTTTCTTTCGAATGGGCAAACACGCGCCGAGCGCAACTCGCAGATCAAACGCGCATCGAGCTCGGAGTTTCGCGTCCTGAGTGGAACTGAGCCGGAGAGCGCTCTTCGCGAGCGCCGCGCTCGCCGAATCCGGTGCATAGGGGGAGTTTACAGGGACGGCACGGGCCTATTAGGGACCATTATTCCGACCGTAAACGGTCGAATTGCCGGCGCGATTAGCCATCGAGACGAAGCGGAAACGTTTACTGATGCTTTTATTTCTAATTATTACGGTTCGAATGTAATGATGGTGTAATTACGAATGGATGTAAATAACGTTGTTTGTTGTGTATTCATTTAGTATTATACGCAATTTCGCTTGATGCTACGTTTTGAATAGTTTTTTTTGGGACACCCTGTATGTTAATTTGTTTGTACAAAAAGTAGAAAGAAAATGTAGTATCTCTTTCATTTGGGTAAATATAAGACAAGTTAAAATTTTGTTCAGGTGGGTTACTGTTCTGATCTATCATTTAGAGAACTAAGAAACTTATTTGTAAATGAAAAGTTTTATAATATTTAGGTTGAACAAAGAAAGAATATTAAAATAACAGAGTTATTTTACAGATTGTCAGAGTAAGAAATTTTTAATCCTAGAGTATCTCTCTTTCTTTTTCTTTTTATATGAGACTGCCCTAGAACTGGACTGGAAGTTTGTTGCACTCATTATAGATCATATCTACATTTTATACAAATTTGCACTTAATTATCTGTATATTTGACTTAAAGATAAGTTAGTAAACTTGATGGGAAATGGAGAAAAATTGACTATAAAAAATGAAATTGTAAAAAACATAATATTATAAAAGAGTCATTTATCTAAAGAAGCTTTACTCACCAAAAGAATCAATTTATTATTTAACAAGTTTCCTTATCTTATAATAAATCAATTATCTACTCAAGATACTCAATTATCTAAAAGAGTCAAATATTTATCTAAAAACACTTTTATTATTTACCTATATATAGGTACAGATAAGAAAACATTCCTATCACAATATTTATAAAGAAACACTTACATAATATAATAAAAATCGCAAGTGCCATAAAAACTCGCAAATGCACTTTACAAACAGACAACATCAATTTGTTACCATGCAAATTTCTATTAATAAATGCTATAATATTTTTCTAGCAGATCTATAGTAGATTTCATCGCGGTACAAAGAAACCATTTTAAGCGAAACAACCAGCAATATATCACCCATGCAACGCTAAAAATGATTAATAAAAACACGTCTCCGTTTCGTAAGAAGGGACATAATAGGTCACCGAAGAGGCCTCTTTCTTTTCGTTATTACGGCACATCTATGATAGCCACCCACGAGCGAAAGCGCGCGTGTATAGCCGGACAAAAGCCCCCATCTAGTCAAAACAAAATTAAATCCGGCCGAGACTGTCACCTGCGGATAGCTTAATAGCCGTCCGGGTTTTTTATCGACTGGCGGTCGAGGGCTTATTTACATTCCGTTTAAAATTTTAGGATAATCTCGGGCGATTTATCAGGCCGGCCCTTATCGAGAACATCGACGGATTTTCTCCATCAATTTCATTAGAGTTTTGAATTATCAACCTTGCACTGTTACCGAATATCCCGGCAACAAAACCGACAGTATGCCATTTAAAACGGGTCCTTTCAGTCGAGATATCCTTGATAAATCTCGGTTAGTCGCAAAACCCGTTTGCGATTTCAATATCAACCACCCGCAAGTCGAAATGTTTTCGCAAATTAAAACACAATACATATCAAGAAGAGTGTATAAACAGAAAGATTTCAATGAGTGATTAGCGCTGTAACCTAACAAGAAAATGTATTATTTTTTATCCTTGGTTAAAGTAGGTAGATTAAAACAACAAACCGTATTAATAGTATAGGTATATTAAATTCGCTATCGTATAAAAATTCTAATAGCTTACTCTCGGTTTTCTCGAGAGTTTAATCAACAGATAATAGAACTTAAATGAAATAACCGGATAATTAACAGGATATACTAATAGAAATAATTTACATATGCGTCGAGATTCGAAAAAAACGGGTACCATACTATTATTAATAAATCCACCCACCTTGAAATTTGTCGTTAAATTAATTGTTATACGACAAATTAATAGGAAATCGATTAATATTCAATCAGATCTGTGCTGGAACTATTTCAACCATATTGCTCTATATTTCCCAACAATTTAACTTTACATCACGTAAATAAATATACAGGGTGTTAATTAATGTTCTGTATTAAAAGTTTTATTTTTATAAACTTTCTGGCTTAAAATTAGGCATTCAAATAACTACATAACAATAATTGACATCCTGTATATTAGTGTCAAAAACCGGAAGATTTTTTCGGCCTTTTACCTAACAGTAAACCGGCCAAATATAGAAGCCCGACGCGAAACGCGAGCGCCCATCAAATCGACCTGTCAGATAAGAAAGCGGAAGAATAAAAAAAAACATTCTTAATAAAACCGACGAGATTCGAGGCACGCACCAACGCATCTCAAACGAATTACACAAAAATTACTCAATTCCCTGGTAGCTCCATCGCATCTACTTAACAGAAATTAAACCAAAAAACGCATGGCACGCCGCGACTTCCAATTAATTCGAGATTTCTAATTAGATAAAAAAAAACATACTATACACAGTGGTTCTAATAGTAGTGCTATATACAGCGATAATTTTTGAAGTAGATTCTTAATAAGTAGTTCCACCCGGTATATAAAGAGATACGGAACTGTAAAAAACGTGTAGATGTGCGCATCGCGTGTTTGCTTTTTATACATTACCATATTTATTAAAGGGCCATGTCGACCACTGGGCCATCTTGGCTTGATTAATGCGCCACGAAATTTAATTTCAGCTGGAAAAAATAACGCGAAGAATAGAGAAATAGTCGAGATTCGAGCTCTACCAGTCGCGTGCTAACGAAGCGTTTCTATACTCTTCGAAATTGGATTACAATCGATATACATTTTCACTTTTTTCTATATATCTCCCGCGGTCGAAGGGGTTAATGAATTCGCCGTATATAAACGCGGCTAATTAATGGCTTAATTAGGTATCGATTAGGCAAACTTGCGCAATATTTCCGGCAATTACTTGAGCAAACAAAACGCGGGTACCCGAGAGACGAGAGGCGCATAATACTTTCCAATTTTTTTAATTGCTTGTCCGCAAACAGGCGTATTACGCTTCTGGTTCGAGCGCAAATTCGGTTGAGGTTTTCACGGCAGATCTGCATTTCGAGCGGTCCGCATATTTGAACAAATTGTTTTTTTTATCCGAGCTTTTCTCTATATCCACTTTTCGTGTTTGCGGAGACATTCCTGAATTATTTTTTTATGTAGGTATACAGTGTGAACCACCATTAAATTTCCAACAATAACTGGTACATTTGCGACACTCGACTCGTTTATTAAGACCGCCAAAGCACGCCCTAAATTCATAATTCGTGGGGTAATATAGAACTATTTTTAGTAAAAATTTTTCCACAATAGATGGGATGAGATTGGTTTAACTCGCTAGTAGATGTTCCGTGTTTGATTACACTTGACATAAAATCAAATGTGCAAGAAAGTTAAATAAGAAATCATTTTCAGAATTTTTTAAATTCAATTCTTTTCCCTGCAATTTGAAAAGATAAAAGTAGGGTTTTAAAAATACTCATTAAAGTGCTCTAAAAGTATTCCGGTGCACTGGAAATACCTTATTTCATATTACCTGCCATTAAAAAAGTGCAAATTATCCAATAATATCTGAAAAACGGAAACTACTGACACCGCTGTCGCTTGTCAAAATAACAAAATTGTTCTGTGATTTGACATTTATGTCAGGTGACACCATAATTTTACAGGAATCTATCATCATCATTTGCTAAAATACTTTAATTAGTTTTTTTCAATTTAATATACAGCAACTAGAAGACATCGTTCTGTAATAAGTATTCTTCATTCTACTAAAATTATTCAAATATCCGTTCGAGGAAACTCGAGTCTTACTAGAATTTCGTTTTGCTATTTAAATAGCATTGCAAATAAATGGCAGTTTTTGATTTCAATTTTCTTAAATATGTAATGAAGCATGAGAGATTAAAAATAGGAGATATCATTGCTTGATGGAGTCTCCATATTAGATATAAGAAAGATTCAAATCAATTGATGAAGCCAAATTTGAATCTTACTGGAATTACTGAACCTATGTTTTCCCATTTAAAAACACCCTGAAGTATAATGTATAAAGTTATATTGAATAAACTTCATAAAAACTATGATTAAAAAGTTATTTTTTTAATTTTAAGACCCTGGTAGCTCGAAAACTAAGAGGTTTAGGACATATATTGATACAAACTTTTCTTCTTAAAATCAACAAAATATTCACATCCTGAAGTATCGCCACTCAACTAATTAACAACCTGTATATAGGGTGAAACATTACTCTTCTCTATACTTACTCTCGATTCAGGAATACCCTGTAGAGATATAAAAATTTGAATTATTCTCAATTCGAAGGTTGCAGTTTATGTCTCACAGGTGCAAGGTGGTTAGAATTAGATGAAAAAAAAAATATGGCGCATTCTTGTTAAATCGATAAATAAAATAGATTGGAAAAAAGTCGCGGAATGTTCCGCGCTGTCGATAGGCAAGATTACCAGCTATCAGTTATAGTAGAATGATAATAGATGATACTTTTAATTGGCGACTCTGAGGAAAATAAGACATAAATCAGCGTGATAGACTATTGCAGGTGTATTTCCAATGTATTCGGTATAACACGAATAACATTATTCGATCGTAAATCAGATCTTTAGTGTTATAGTTTTCCGTCTAACCTTGATAATTCGCGTAAAAAGGCCGATACAAAGCTCGTAAAAAATATATATAAATAATAATATCCGCGACGCACTTTCCACAGAAAATTCGTTCCGCTGCGAAATAATTAATCGCCCTATAATTGCATCATATTTTAACTGGTGACTAGTTTATAAAACGCCCGATGCTCCGAGTAAAAAATAATTAGCCGATGAAGAAACTGATC